GTGTCCTGGATATTATCTCCTTTTCTTTTCGTGCTAATGTAAGGGGGAAAAAACACTCTCTTTTCACTGCAAGCCCTTTTGCATAATTGTTCGGTTTAGTTGATACATGCAATCTTTCTATTGTGGGAGGTATGCCCTTGTACCATAAAAATAAGAACAGGGAAATAGGAAACTATGTAAGTTGGCGTTAGGTCAAAGTACATGTACCATACTATTTTTTCCGTGGCTCCTTGTTTTTGCAGATTGGTTAAAGTGGTATCTTGTGAAATCTATTATTCGCGGAGTTTCGGGTATATTAACTATGTAACATAGTGCTATGCTACAAATATATTAGTTAACTATTAATATTGTTGGGTGTAAGAATGATGGAATATTCATTAATCGTAACTAATGTAATTAATATCGAATAATAGTTATGATACATTCATGTGTACATAAAAAAAACAATTAATTGTATTTCTAATTACAAAATCAGTAAGTATGGGTAGGGCTCAATCTGACAGCAAGTGTTATGACCAAAACAATAGGTCTGGATTTTACATGTAGCGGCAACAACAGGACCTGTTACATGTATCCATATAATGTTATATAATCTTACTTCGGTGAACATTAAGTAGAGTGGTATTAAACTGATCCTTAAAAACTGGTGTATCGGGATTCCAGATAATAAGCTGATGACGTAAAATGAAAATATGTTCATAGATTACTAGGTATTTTGAAATATAACATGTTAAAATTGATGTTCAATCCATTGCTAATCTAACCAAGCTTTACACATTTGTGTTCTCGACTCAATTGTGCAACGTCTGGTTAGCTTAACCTGTCGTTAACGCAATTGTTCAAACTATTTTCAAATATCTTAATTAAACGAATATTTTTAGAGCGTCATGTCATTTAAGCATCATCATTAATCATTATACATAAAACTTGAGTTTCGAATTTCAACATTTTTCAAATTATTCTAGATTTTACCTTTCTAAACGTTTGCAATAAGTTGTTTTTATGCTTGCCAACCTTTGAATGAATTGGCCATTGTCTATACAACAATTTGTCAGGTAATTAATACATTAATGAGAAATAAACATAACAATGTATCATGATAATGTATATCAAAGGTCATTGAAAGAAAATCTAATGTCTGGTTAGAAGAGATTATTAGATTTGATTTCCCCAATACAATAATTTTGAGCTAAAAAAGGTAATGATAAATATTGGTCTTAAAACAAATTTCATTCGAACTCTTCTTTTAAAGAGATATGAATATATCAATAGTATAATGTGCGATTAATCTGACATTAATTAAGCAATAAATGTTTTAGCATATGTTGTTATGGTCCTATAACGCACATTGCTATTAATGACAATCTTAATAAAACAGCAGGGCTATATGTAAGTTTGTCAGCAATAAAATACTTGTTATAGGACAATAAAATTATTTGATAAAATATTCATTATTTATATTTACATTTTTATAGAGTAGTTACGCTTCATTTAGTTATTTCGAACAGCAAATTAAGTCCTGACAACAATGAAAATGATGACGTCACAATGGAGATTGATGACGTTCAGTAGCAAATGTTGTTATAGTCTCGTAACAACATTTGCCTTTATCGATGCATTACAATAGAAAGATGCAGAGCAAATGTAAATATTTGGAATATATTTGTCATACCACAAGTCTGAGTACTTCATAATCGCTACGAAATACTTGTATCATTATCCGTTAACTTGTACCTATATTAACTTAAACAGTATGACATTGTTAAAAAATCTATGAATAATTTGATAGCATTTCAAAACTGTTTTGGGGTTAAAAATTAGATCTGTAAAAGCTAGAGCTTGTTTTCTGAAACATGCTTCAATTTTACTAATCATGAATGAAAATGTTCAGAGTGCAACTTTCTTGAACAATTCCTGAAACATTTTTGTTTATATTTTTGGTTTTCGAAAGTCATTCATAAACATAATGTCATATTTTTAAAACCTAAATATAAGTGAATACATAGAAATAACAATCTTATTTTTTGTGTTATGTTGATATTAAGCTAACAAGACTCAGCAGCTGTGTATTTGCTGGGTATATGTGACGTCTTTGTGCATTATGCATATAAGACATACGTATGCAACTTGGCAGTACATTAAAGGCAAACAGTTCAGGATATATGAACCTGTATTACAAACGGAGTAACATTAGAGGTAATCTGTTAGTTTAAACCGTTTAAATGTTTACAAAACACCTGTTATTTTGATTGTCAGATGGCCAAGGTGGGATTATTGTCTTTAGCGTGTCATTTTTGTTTTCTTTCACTTACAAATTATAATGCACAGCTGCTAAATATCAGACGAAAGCTAAAAGCATGCGTCCTGACTGTAGATCTAGAGGTGAGAAGCGTGAATATTTACACAGCGGTAATTTCAACTGAATGCATTGTTTTAATCGTTACATTTGTATGCATGCATTTATACAAATTGTAATAACGAAAGGAATATATCATAAAAGTGAACTTGTGCAGGTGCTAACCTCGATCTTCTGACAATGTTTCTCCAAGTGCAAGTTCGCATATTCAATCTTAGAAGCTATAAATGTTTACCTCGGTAGTTTAAAGAACAAGTGCGTGTGTAATTGTGTACTTTTCCCTGACTGAGATAATGCTGAATGAAGTGTTAAGAAGACATCGCAAATCCAGTTGCATTGTTATAATATTTAACACTATGCACTTCATACCATGATAAACAACTTCTTGAAGTTAGGTATATTATATGAAGAAGTCATTGTTATATACACAAATCAGAATTAAGACCAACAAAATAATTCTTTACAGCCTGGCACTCGGTTCAAATACATCCCTTGTACAACATGTACATTATCGTTCGTTACACCAACGCAAGTCGGGGATGGATGAGAGTATCAGCAATATCATGTGAGATGCAACTACTTGTAAACCCCCTGTAGATTATGATATTTGCATTAGTGCCCCTTATTTGGATACAATACAGAAATGAAATCTGCTTCACCTATTGCAATATTAAAGATATTTATATTTTCTCTCTTCTTTATTGCAACCTTTCAGTTTCCTAGCTACTTGCTTGGCAATGCCTAAATTGTGACTTTACTGATTACCGTTATCAAGATGAGGGAAGCAATGGAATTTCCCCAGGTCGGGACATAACAACGTCTTTAAAAATGGAAGTTATTATTCCCTGCTTAACGTGCAACATTAAGAGTAAGGACAACAACTACATGGAGTTTATCCGTTGTCAGTATAATGTAGTATACTATGTATGATGCCTTCGGTATTGTATTTCAGTATTCCTTGGAGCAGGTCCTCAAATTAATAAAGCTATTTATAGGTTGTTAAAAAACTGATATGTTTAGATTTAGTTAATTAAATTTAATAATAAAAATAAAAAAATAAAAAAATAGTTAATTCTTATTTTTTATTGTACTATGTTTTTACACAGAATAAATACCTTTTAAGTGCGTGTCTCCTTACTTCGAATTTATAGTGATTATGGTTTGGATTGGAACAATTTGTAGACCTTGTAGACAAAATAGCTTGAACAAATTAAAATTATATATCATTTCATATATGCTGTGGGTTCATTGTAGGTGTATTAAAACACACGAGACGTTCCCTTGATGTCAAAAGTAATTAAGAGTGGACACGCATGTATACAATACAGAGTTGGAAACAGTAGACATCACGCAATATGTTTTATTGAATATTACACAACTTTCATTGAGAAACGAATGAGTCATATGAAAAGTTAATCTTGATATAACGAACTTGAAGATTTTATTGTCATGGTATATATTTCAAGAGTGCAAAGATCATGCAATGCTAATAAATTTATGTAATATATCAATATGGTATACATTATGAGGTAAAAGGGCAGAGATGTGACATTGATATTCCATATGTCAATAAAACTCTGTCACAATACTTTCAATATGGCGTTTAATCACAATCTGTTACAAACGCCTGTTTTTTTATATATGCTTATTAAAGATATACTATAATAAATGTAGGTCACTGTTAACTTATACCGTCGAACACTTAATAATAATCGTTTTGTAGCATTATTGATATTCTTTTGATAATCTTTTATCTTGCTGGTTACGTTGAAAAAAAACTTTGTGTTGTAAATCAGCATAACAATTATATATGACATAACTACTACTTACGAAAACAAGCTGCTTTGTATGCATATATTCATAATATTATATCATTATCACTGAAAATATAATTAGTTATTCTCCACAACTGTGAGAAATGACAAGGACAGGAAATCGCGTGACAAAAAGTACGTTTTTACACAATTATTAATGTACTTTATGTCTCGTTAATCCGACCTAAAGATTTAGATTAGATAAATCGTTACTTTAGACGTCGGGATGCTCTATTTTTGTTTCATATTCGTTTCTGTCGTTATTGTTCAGATCAAAATCTAGTAGACATGAATGAATCAATGATGTTTTTGTTTTTTTCATTTGACCTTAATTTATGTCTCTGCATATTTTCCGCGTCATTAACAAAAAAATAATTAAGTTTAATCATACCAGGACAAAAATGGAATTTAAATTAAATACAATCAACATGGCAAAACCTGAGGTGATATCAATTAAACCGAAAAACAATATTGACTTCACAAAAGGCACAGGAAAACACAGGTGGTCAGGAGGTGTAAGCGTTGCCTACTACTTACATTGTCCTTGTTATGATATTATCCGCCAAGTATTTGCTTCATCCTTTACGAAATTGCACGTCGATAATAAGTATTTGAATCCAAGCACAGTTTGAAAAATTTTCTTGATTAAAAAATGCAATTTGAGTGTTATTTCTAGTTATGCCAAAATACGTACGTATTTATTTTTAAAGATCAAATGAAAAGAAAAAAGTAACCGATTTTTTTATGAATGTACAATTCAGTATTTTCTGTTATAAAATTTGTCCCTAGTTTTGACATCCTCAAATGCAATATCATAGAAGAAAGCACCATTAACCGGTAGAATCAATTTATTGAAGTTTACAAATACAACAAAAGTAGTTTTTGGCCGGTAAGATGACAAAATAAAAGAACCTCTATAGCATTTGCAAGTGTGCGTATCGTTCAATAGAGTTCCATGATGACAGAATGTCAAAGTGGAAATGACGGTTATCTCATTTCAGCAAATGACTGTGAAGTATATTGACTTGTAGTGTAGAATATATCTCAATCTTTGACACATAAATATATTCGCACCCTGGAGCCGTAAATTTGTTTGACATCACTGAATTAAAGGCTCATTTTTATAGCGAATCCATGATGTGTTACGGTAACTTCAATATCGATACTGATCCATAGTATATAGATTTAGCGTACACTTAATGTCTCACGTTCGAATTCACGGAAAAAAACGAACTTCCAAACGGCTACGACCACGAGTAAGTCTACTGAAACTCCATGGATGTAAAGGCTTTTGAGTAAGCATTAAAACATCTTTGTCATTGAAACTTGAGAATTGAAGTGTGATTAGCACATACATCGGCCCTATTCGGACCGAAAACTCAATATTCACAGAATACATCCGGTGGTGGTCTGGGTATTTTTTTCTGACATACTACCTCAGGAATAAACCCACGACACACACATCTATTGACGGTATCCATTGACATGATGCCCGTTTCTCCTACAGCATACGTTTCCCCAAGGTATAGACATTCACCTGTCGGAAAATGAACAAAATTAAGTAATTGAAATTAAACTGTTAATGATTATTGATATTATTGTTGACACAATACAAATATCTGAATTCACGCAACCATATTTCTTATTCCGTGGATGGACATTTAAATTGCTTTGACCTTAAAGTAAGCAATGGTGTTTTTGTTCTGGAGCACAGTCGACCAAGTCACTTCAAGAGCAGTTTCTCAATGCGCGTTCACAAAGATCGTTTTTAATGAATAAAAAGGTCCGAAGGGCTAATCAGATCAATGTATTTATTGTTTGAAAAATTGAAATATTGTTTTTTTTTCAGTGAATTTTCTAAATCTCATATTTTGATGTTGATCCATTGGAACTTGATAATCATAGCAACCAATGCTACCGCAGTGACCATCCTAACGACCCGTTTTGACTGGTTGTTTTCTTCGTTATGCATTTAAACATCTTCTGGATGTAATTATAAGGATTAACATTTATTTTGATTGCGTATAAGATAGCATGAAAGCAGTTGGCAACAACCATGACGAGCACCATGAAAATATGTTCGTTGTCACCTGCGTTTATATTAGTGTTTACCCCGTGAACATGTAGATCCATACTTTTATAAACTTACACACAATATAATAAGAACAGGATAGCATCAAATAAAAAAAAACGATTTTGTCAAAGTGGCTGCAAACAATCATCAATTGCTGGCAAGATTTTTGACCACTGTGAACAATTACATTGTAAGCAGGGTTAAAAGAAAAAGGACCGCGGGACTCGCATCCATTTTCTGCTCAATGTTTTTAATCATGCAAGACGGTATGTGCATTCAAATACACTTGAAACAGTTGTCACGGAAACGAATTTAGAGATTAACATTATCAGGCGTCTTTCCATACGAAATATTTCAGAAAACAATATTACATTAAAAGCAAAATCAACATATCCGCTGTTTATATAACACCTACCTGGACAGGGCATGCAGATTTTGCTGCGGTCAGGTCGTGGTACCTCCCCATTGCCACAAACAGAAAATTCTGGGCAGGAGTAGAATTTGCAGTAAGTGCAATCACGGTCAGAAACGCAGCCAACTTGGTACCCCGAGACTCTCGGCGGTTGTTTTTTAGCATTACAGTACTTCACACATTTGCCATGCCACATTGGTTTAGCATATCGGGGCACTGTCAGTGGTTAAAATATGCATCGTATAAGAAATTCATAAAATGTAACATTATTGATGAATTTGACATGAACAGCAAGAATTGTATAAGAATTCGATACATTTGGTATTAGAATGACACTCCATCTGTTTGTATTTTTCTTTTTCAATTTTAAGTTAAGATATGCAATTATTATAAATTTCTTTATATTACGACTTTTTTGTTTTAAGTAAAACTTGAAGCAAAATAAGGATAGATGTTATTGATTAAATAAAACAAGGACATTGTGTTAACAGTATATAATAATTTTTGATTTGGATAAGGTTATCATGCATGTGTAGATCGTTTTAAGAAAATTATTTTAAATTACAAGGTAAATGCGTTAAAAGAAAATAAAAGTGAAAAATAAGTGTATATTAGATATTTGTCTCATTGAAATCCATGACGCCAGCAATCATTTACACAGGTGCAAAAAAACGTGCAATTAACTGATAATATTTGATTAGTTAACAAATCTATAAATCCACACGAAATGTGATAGACTATCCTAACTTACAGTAGGGTCCAACTAATATACTGTCTTGATACCGCGTGATTTTTTCCTTCTTAACGAACATCAAAATGTTAGCCAGTAGAGAAATATTCGCGACATGCTTAATTATGTACATCCTTTTTCACGTACTGCTATTCCACAAATATTGAGACAAGCTCTCCTCTATCAAAATAAATGATGTTGCACAGTCACGTCAGCCATTAATATGCAAATGTGGTAATTATGTTTGACCTTTTTTCTAAACTGATATTAATTAGGTTATGCACATTCTTATGACCTGCAAAATTGCATGCAGTTTAACATAATTATCAACAGTCATTTTCTGTAACGATTACCGGCGTATTTCTTCATCAGAGACCGAATGGCTCTAACGCATATGTCATAGCCATTTTAGAAAAAAAGTTGTTGTTATTTATTTTAATACATATTATATAGAGACATGGCGATATAACTATTATTTAATTAACATGGACTTTAACATGATTAACAATGAATTATGTAATGTTCATAAAACATAATAAAAAATAAATCGAACTTCATCATGATTAGCAATGAATTATGTAATGTTCATAAAACATTGTAACAAAGAAATCAATCTTCATCATGATTAGCGATGAATTATGTAATGTTCATAAAACATAATAACAAAAAAACAATCTTCATCATGATTAACAATGAATTATGTAATGTTCACAAAACATAACAACAAAGAAATCAATCTTCATCATGATTAGCAATGGATTCTGAAATGTTCATGAAACATCATAACAAGTAAATCAATCTTCATCATGATTAGCAATGGATTCTGGAATGTTCACAAAACATAATAACAAAGAAATCAATCTTCATTATGATTAACAATGAATTATGTAATGTTCATAAAACATAACAGCAAAGAAATCAATCTTCATCATAATTAACAATGAATTCTGTAATGTTCATAAAACATAACAATAAGGAAATCAATCATCATCATGATTAACAATGAATTATGTAATGTTCATAAAACATAACAACAAAGAAATCAATCTTAATCATGATTAACAATGAATTATGTATTGTTTACAAAACAAACCAACAAAGAAATCAATCTTCATCATGATTAGCAATGAATTATGTTATGTTCACAAAACAAACCAACAAAGAAATCAATCTTCATTATGATTAGCAATGAATTATGTAATGATCATAAAATATAACAACAAAGAAATCAAACTTAAACATGATTAACAATTAATTATGTAATGTTCATAAAACTGTATAACAAAGAAATCACACATATATCTTTCAAATATACAAAACACTTACATGCACCAGCCATAGGAAGGATAAATACCACACAAACAAACAATACTGTTACTCGAGTCATGTTGCTTTCCCTTTTTCTAATAAATAACTGTAGTTGATGATTACTTCAGGTGTCCCAGTCACTTGGCCAAGTAGTAATATGTCACTCGGAATATAAACAGCGAACAAAACGAAATCGAAAGTGATAAATTGTTATGTTAAATCTCCGTGATTTCAATTATTGTAACGTCGTTTTGTCTCTATAACAATTATTCCCAGAATGGCAATTTGATACCTGTTACCCTAAGTCATGGTAAGCATGGTCTTTCCAGCCTTGAGTGTAGTCCAAATTAATTAATATGGATGTAGGTGTATTATTCAATGCCAGACCAGGTCTCACAATTAATGTATTTTCACAAAAGCGCATAATTATATTACCTTCTAATTAGCTTGAATTCTAACATAATATCTGATACGCAATTTAAGAGATGGTTTTATGGACATTTGAATGAGTTTTATTTAAATGCGAATGTATGGCAAAGTTTTGATAAAATATGCACTGGACGGTTCAGCTTTATTTTATGTATAGGTGGTCTTTCATTAAAAACATATGAGTAATAAACTGTCAGTAATTTCTCGTTTCTCGAGACATCAGATAAACCGGATTGCTAAGTGAAACTCCCTTTAGATACCGGTAAACAAGAAACGTCTGAATACTACAGTACATTTGCTTTTGAAATAAGATAAATACAAACAATAAGTTTAATGGAAGATATATAGTACCCTCGCACATGTTTTGGGTCGACAGACGGTTTCATGTAACTGTATGTTGAAGTACTTCTTTAATATAATTACATTTCAAAGAATGTGGCTTAATATAAAATTTAAAATATTGTTGCCACATTCTATGAATATTTCTAATAATATGTGTACTTATTATATATGACGTATGAAATAAAATATTGTTTAAACCAGTTAGTTCGAATTTTTACATCATAAGTTACTAATGACACATTATGGACGATTTTGCTAAGGACAATTTTAGGCTAGGCGATCTTGGAACGTAGATCGTGAGTTCGAGGCCCGGACAGGACATGAATCAAATTATCCTCATATGTAGTCCCTTGTGTTTTAAATATTTACTCTGTCGAGAGTATAGAACTATAAACCACTGCAACATCAAAACGGTTTTTGAGGAAGCCGGGATGGTGTAATAGTAATAGCTGCTGAAATATCTCGGCTATGCTAATTGGTACCGTAGGTAATGAGGTGTTAGTTTGATGCCCATATATTATATCACCATGGATGCTGGTGGTACAGTATCTCCAGTTTCTATCTCACCTCACTTTATAACCCATGTGTTTTGTCATGATAGCACACTTAAAGAAAGAGGGAGAGACAGAGACAAAGAGAAAGAGAAAACGAGACAGACAGACAGACAGACAGACAGAAAAGACAGACAAAAAGGCAAAAAGACAGAAAAAAGACTGAAACAGAGAGAGAGAGAGAGGGATACAGGGACAGGGACAATGACAGGCAGGCAGTCGGTATTTCAAAGGACTAATGAAGTCATCTTGTTCTTTCATTATACCAAAATAAAAAAGAACAATCGAAAAGAAAACAATCAGCGGTAAAACACTCGATAAATACAGAAAATATGGTTATACATGTACACAGAATAAACGAAATAATATTAATGATATATGTAGTGCGTCCCGCGTAGGCGCCGACCTTATGTACACTTTCAGGTTTCATTACGTAGCCAACATTAAAATGCCAACACATTTTTTTATGTATGAAACAATTTATGTGTTTTAAAAACAATTCCCTTCAAGTCAATTTGAAGCTAGATTAAATAACATAAATGTCTTTATCGCATTTATTACCTTTATGGCAGCATGCGATATACAAATAGTAGAGTAATTAAAGAGAACAAGCATTACAGGGCACAATTAAGACAACAATTTGCAATTAAAATTTATAAATAATATTTATTTTGACAAGACTGATTGTCCTTTATTAAACACATAACAAAACATGACACTATTAATACTTGAAGAACCAATAAACAGCGTTCAATATTTTTTTATAGACACGACATGTTTTTTCTAGACCAATATGATGTTTTTGATCATTGGCATCGTCATTTCGCAACGTCCTGCAATATCATCGTCTTTTCCATCGTCGCAGTATTCGGATTTTACTTCGACAGGCTGAAGAATTTAACAGCGCTTAGGTCGGTACCAGCACTTGTCATTCCATTTGTATTTTCCGACACTAATACGCGACAGAGAGTAAATGCAGGTGGTAGCATAATACTGAAAATCTCAATATATTTCACACGCCACAAAACTTTTTCGGCTCGGGATGGTGTTCAGTACTACAACGCACCCTTCCTGAACTGTTGCATTCACATTCATTAACCTGGTCGAATGACTTGAATCTGTCCTTCTTCTTGTACGTTTTGCCGGTGTACACGCAAGTTCCTGGTCAAAGAAAAACATAATGGAAACATTGTATTATAATAAAAATCGCGATAGTTTTCGTACCATTTGAAACAAAATAGTAAACATATCAACACGAACTTTAAAATGCCCTAAAATATTATATACATGAATACTTATATAATGTGAAAATAATAGATACGTGCAATTTAATGGAATAGATGTAGTACAAACCAAATTGTAAGGTATACGCCTTGCATATTTATGTCAAAACATAAATATGTTCAATAATGAATTATCAAGTTAATATAATCAGAATGGTAACTGGGTTAAGAAAGATAACACGGTTATCTAGGAGTAACTACATACCCAACGTGTAGCTTGGTCAATTTTATTAGTGAAACGACAATTTGCAAAATTGATCAATTATATTGGGATTTATATCTATATTTATTGTACATTTGTATACAAGTTTGATGTTCCACTTTCAGCGTTTCGTTTGAGTAGCATTTCGTAGCGCTTGCGTCCAAGGTGAAAAAAGGACGTGTAAGGGTTTGTTTATGTATTAATACATATACATGATATTCATAGATAAAGATTAATAACGAAAATACAATATAGTATTATAGCTTTGATACGAGTTTTATTTCCTTATTTAAATAATATTTATTCAGATAACAAATGTACCTGATAAAAAGTATGTCAAGTAATAATGCTGTGATTCTCTGCTCTATAAGGATTAGTCGCTTAATAAGAAACTATGATAGCTTATTAGATAATTATGTCACGTAATTAGGAGATAATGAGTTATACTTATTATGTTGCTATATCGTAATTAACAGATATGCTTATTGATTTTAACTTTTTTTTTCCAGTAGGCTCAATTAATTACATTTTATTCTGTTGAATGCTATCATATATGGTGTTTTAAAACGCTTGGATATGTTATAAACGTTATGTTTATAAAACAAAATAGAATATACAATTTGTTTCACTATTCTATTCATCGAAAGAAACACAGTGTTCCGCTTAAATGGCGATCTAAAGACAGGTGCTACTCCATAGACTCAATAGGAAAAGCTTAAAGCACTGTCAGCTTGACCTCCAGCTTACACGAATTATACTTCAAAAACATCTATATAAAAAAGTGGATGTTAGTGTACATATTCAATCCTTTTTATCTTATTCTGTAACAACCAATCTTTGCGGATAATTTGCTACTGGTTTTGCTATTTTCACTCAGGTCTGTTAAATTATGCATAAACTGCACTTACGCTTTACTCCACCTATGTGTTAAGTTAGGTGTTTACATGTATATTCACTGTGATAAATAATTCCTATGACATTGTATGACCTTGGTGTCATGCGTTTCTAATAAAACACATCACAATGACTTTTTTTATGTCGGTTGTAATGAATCTGAAAACGGAAGTTTACCACTGAAACAATTATCAATATTATATCCAGGTTGCCCATCATCATAGAAATAGATTAGCATGTGGCAGTGAGAATGTGTCCAAGTATGAGACGAAATTGAAAACCTTTGTTTCCAACAAATAGTACTGACCTCTACAATCTGAATTAAGATTAACCAGGACAACTCACTATTTTTTTTTTAAGTCATTAATTTTCAGACCTATTGCCGATATGCTGTCTTTATATAATCACTGACAAAGTACACCGTACATACAACCATACCCGTCAAGACTTTGGCAGCCACTAACCTTAACCATTTCCTTACAATTTAGAAGGGTTACTACTAAGGTAAATTGTATGTGTTTGGATGTCTCGCTTGATTCGCCATGATAAATATTTCAAAATCTCGTTCATCATATTTTTGGTAAACGAGAAGTTGTATCCATGCGAAAAAAATGTATAAAAAAGACGAAATCCTGCATACGCCTTCTACTTTATTGTAGATATTTGTACTGTTTACCATTAAACACTTCGCCTTGAGATTAAAACATACCTAATGGCATATGCATGTAAAATCTCCTTTCAGTTAATGATATTGGAAAAGGAAACGTCCTGTACAAATTGCAAAATGTATTACCTCCCTTATGTTGACACAGCTCAGGTACCGATTACCGAGTGTAGGATGAGATTACAGGAGCTTGCTGGTAGCTACATATTCTAGGTTATTTGACGTTCACCCTGATTACATTTTGTTACAGTCTATTTTAAAATTTCGTTAGGGTTAAACACATCCGAGATGTACCCCTCCTTTTTTCTGTAAATTTCACTCGTTCATGTACCTAAATCCCCAGAACTGATATAAAAAATAGCATTTTCCTACATTAATGTGCGCGACAAACACAGTATTTACCAGTGCAGAAAATTCAGTGTACATGTACGCGAAAGTTTAAGCTGTGAGCTTCTGTTCATTCTTCATTCAAAGTAATGACGCTACACGGAAACATGCCCGTGATCTTTGATTCTTCACAACACTTCTCGTTTTATTTTCAATTATTAGAGCATTGTGACCAATCATACCCGGTTAATCTTTACAATGATTAAGTTAACTGTAACTCTATGTTTCAGTGAAATAAAGTTTACAATTTCCTTTTTACCCTATCATAACAACTACGTGGATATCATACCTGGACACACCATGCAGTTCCTATCTATTGTCGGTACTGGGGGGATCACCTGCCTCCTTCTTTTACACTCCTGTACCTCTGGACAGCCAAAATACTTGCAGTAGACACAATCTCCATTTTTTATACAATACCGGTACATTTTCTTGATCCATATGGGTTGATGCGGAGCGCAAGATTTTACGCATTGCCCATATGGCACAATTTTGCCGTATCCTGAAGTAGAAAAGAAAATCAGTTGACTTTAAATAATGAAATAATGTTATTTTCAGTTTGTCTTCAACTTATTATGATTTCTTTTAATTGATATTTCAAACAGGTCTTTATAATGGCCACAGTTGTGAAAACATTATAAAATTATATTATTAAATGGATTTATATTATCAGGGTTACGGAGTAAGCGCTTTAGAGTAATTTTACAAATTATATAGGGCGCTATATAAATGTTGTATATTATTATTATTATTATTATTATTACAGGCGTTTCGCTACATCGTATATCCCAGAAAATGGAATGAATGGAATAAAGATTTTCAGGAACTCAAAAGATTGTTTGAATAATGTTTGATCTTTTCTCCTTAAAACTGCTTCTTCTTTAGAGGTTTTGACGTGTTTACTTAAGGGGCGACATTGTTCTCTAATGACAGATTTATTCACGGAGAAAGACAAACAAATACACTTAGATTAAAGACGTGAGCTTGACTGAGTACCGAGTTAACAGTGTATTTTTTGAGTTCAATGACAAGACTTTCCCATGGGAACAAACTGTGCCACTTTTAGCTACTTGTTTTCTGTTTGGTTCGTTTTTTAATTAATTAATTAGCATTTCAGGACTGGTGGCACAAACCTAGGCAAATTATTCAATATAACATTCAGATAAATCAGCAATGTGCTAGCGTTAAATAGCTAAACAGATATTGACCTTGTCGATCCGATCGAGGCAATATTACTGAGCTTGAAATAAAAAATACAATAAACGTTTTTACAAGATTTTTGCTTACATCATAGCTAACAGACACAGCTTACTAGAAAGCTGTATGCGGGTTTAATTCGATTTTCGATCGTGATTTTTGTTTTTATAATGACTTCACTACTCCCCAAACCTACGGTATAAACAAGTCAGAGTTGATTCAGTACTCAAGAGATTATTTCAAATAACATATTCCCGTGACAGATGGCAACTATTGGCGGGCAAACTTTAAACATAGGTTTTCCATATGTGCAGTAATAAAGATAATTGGAAAGTCTTGTAGTGATCATAATCACCATATGAAATACTTAATGGAACCATTGTCCTTCTTTGTCTCTTCTACAAACTCTTTCATTTTGGGGGTTTCTGCAACTCGGATTAATCTATTGTCAGCGTATGTGATTATATGGAATGCCATGCTGTCGTGTCTACCATACTAAATGGAGACTAAACAGCAATTGTGACTGGTCCTTCAGTTGCCGTATGATACCGGAACATAACATCTTCTAGCTTTTTGAAACTGCAGCTCACCAATGTCTATCGCAAAACTCTCTGGACATTTTTGGGGATCTTATCTGACTAATTTATCCATACACATCTGCTGACGGATCTTCGCTATCATCTTTACCCTTTCCAGTACTGGTATTTCCATGATAAGCTTATATATATATATGAGGACACATTTGACCTGATACGCCTTGTCGGTGTTCAAGTTAAATGTCAAACTTCATATCATATATGACCATCAAAAAAGAATGGGTTACGTTATGTTTCTGATTATTATCCCTATTCATTATATAACATATATGAAGGTAACATATTCCAGTGTTTACAATAAGGGGATACATGTGTACGTTACTGTATATTTATTCAAGCTGTAACATGTATTAATATGTATGTTATTTGCCCTTAACACATATACATCATTTTCACATCGTCAAGTCCGTTCTGTAACTGTCAGGTTAAATTGTAAGTTAAATAGAGATACATACAAACATGTTTCTAATAAACAATACAATTTAATTGGAGGACAATTGGAGGGTATTTCTTGTAAGATAAAGAGTACCGTCAAACTAAAACATGTAATACCATCAGGAATGTTATGAATATATATATATATATATATATGCTTACTTTATTTTAAACATTTTTTTATTAAAAAGTATACGTTTCCGATGCATTTTACAGCTGTTTTTCATTAGAGTGTTTGCTTTGCAGTAATATATTAACCAAGATATCCCTTTATATTTTGAAAGTCAAGTTGTTTTTTTTGTTGTGAAAAATGGAAGATTTATTATTAAAAACAAGACTTACGGTTAAACCGTTTAAATGTTACTTAAACTGAGGTTACTTATTTTTGAATGGTACCTTATTAAATAATAATTAATGTCTATTTTTTGTCACAAAGTAAGTCATTTTATTGCTTCTTTCACACTAGTTACAGCAAAAAGGCACCTTATCATGACCTGTTTTACGTTATAATTGCCTGTTTACATTTTCCATGTGACGCTAGTATCTTTGGTTGGGTTTCCTTTATTAAAATATAAAACTAGCATGCATGAACGATTTCAGGATATTACGGAAGAGCATTAAAGCTACTTCGAAAATAATAGCTTTCATTTTAACCTAACTCAAAAGTTTGATTTGAAAACTCAAAATTTCGAGAAATTGTAACTCGCAATATTAAGAAACGTACACAAGATTTGGATTTATTATCGCACAATTTCGAGATTAGTTCGTAGGAAATGTATCTTTTTTTCGAAATAGCTTATGTCATACGGTTTTTCTACAATGCCTTGTAGTCAATGCCAATGCACTGCATTCATGGAATTATTAGCTTTGCTTTATTCTTCTATCCTTAATACTTCGCATATCTTTATCAATATCAGATGAAAATAGAAAATCCCATCACACCAATACATCACAAAATAGAAGCTCACGGTGTGCTGAAAGCAGTAATTTTATGTGAATGTGTTGCTATAGTGTTTATATATGAATAAAACGCTTGACGCCATGCTTTTAACAAGCACAAAGTTTTGCGGGTATAACATATTTTATCTACATACAATATAGGTTTCGCACATTTTATAGATTTGTCATATATGAACCTGTGGTAGCAGCAGAAAATGTCACAGTCGGGGAAAAAACATGTATAGGAATCATAACTTAAACTAGTGTTACTAAAATATATAAGTATAGGAATCATAACTTACACTAGTGTTACTAAAATATATAAGTTGTAACTGTTTGTACTAATTTTATACTTACCATCACAGACTACAACACAAATCAACAGTACGCATGCGCAGAGGATGGTATTCATACTGCTTTACATGGACTGCAATAGATAAATATATCATAGATAATTTTTCATTTTATATTGAATCAAGTCCTGTTTTGCTCAAACTTGATTTTGCAAATGGATGTATAATTATTTGATATTTCATGAGCGTTTTACTCCACAGTATTTCTGATCAAATGTATAAATTATGGTACGCTTTATGTATTCCTAATTGATTTGCATAACACGTTTGTATTAAGGCACCACTTTCAGTGTTACAACAATACATTATGTTATAAATACGAGTGTTATGAATCTTGCCACTTTCACAATACGGATGCCAGTGGTAGTCCATGCATTTTTATGATGTATGTTATACAAGTAGACCTTAACGTCATTAATGTTCGTTCCGTTTTTGTTTCTGTAGAATAACATTCACAAAACGAAATAGATCTAATTTGGAAAAATGTTCGTAAGGTTACGGTTCGTTTCCCGTGTAAAATACTAAGTGAAGCAGCGCTTTTGAAACTGGGGTCTACTTCAGTTAAACCGATAATACTTAATGAAAACAATAATTTACATAATAATGTTTCGATTTTTGTAATCAATTGTTGATGAATGAATAATTAAAAACCGGTAGATAATGTCAATACATCAACAAATAAAAAACAACGTTCAAATATAAATGTTCCTAAGCACTAGCGCATTGTATAAAGTTGTCAAATAAATGTATCAATACATGTAACTACATTACTACAAATTTTGATGATAACGAATACTGATTCTGCGATTAAAACATTTTCTTCAAGAACAATGATATAAAGTCGGCATATTTTATCGTCCTGACAACATATACAGTGGAATTTAAATTTTGTAATAAATGCTATGCCGTTTTCCATAAAGGGTTAAACATTGAATTGTACTTTCTCACCTTCTTAGATATTTTCATACGAATTATTAATTAAAGGAATATAATATGATAATTTAATAATGTTTCAACACAATTTAAAATAATTTAGTGCCTTTAACATGCAAAATACACACCTTGGCGAAAGGAATCCACTGGAAACTGTCTTCAACTATTCGCATAGCGAAGCGAATTGACACGTTATATATACCGATACGGGACGTATGCTAAATAGTTGACCTTATGGAAATTAAGTCTTTATTATAATTTGTAATTAAAGAATAAAACTCTTGATTATAATTATAAACCTATATAATTTACTAAGTGGTATGTCTGTGTCACTATCTGGCAGTATTTACAGTGATTCTAATTAATATGCACAGATATATAGATATTAACCACTTCCCAGTGACGTACTGTGCTTTATCACTGATATCCTACCAATAATTAACATTTTTGTAATTAATAACGGTAAGCTGGTGTATTAAAATGATGCATTTCCTTCCTGTTGAAGTGACAATTCATTTCATGCTCAGTGTATTTCCTGTACGTTTTACCGTTGAATTGAGTGCATATCCATTCATAACTTGTACAAAATATCCGGCATCTTTAATTGTCCTAATGACAGAATTAAATCAAAATTGATATGAGGTTTCTCACATTTATGACATTTTCATTATGACATGCTATTATAAATCATTTCTTGGAATAAGATCATGCATTAAACTGATATCCTAAATTATTTTGAACGAAAGGATGGGCAGAAGAAATATAGCTTCCGTGATTTAACGTCAAACAATTTTAAAATGAGTTCAAGAAATACATGATTCTTAGAATAAATTAAAATATCACATGTTTAGTATGAATGTACACCAACTATGAAATGTGGTTAAAAAAGTTACAATATAATAAAACTTATGGGGCTGAGATAACACCCTTTGTAAGAAGTATTCGTGAAGTTTATTATAATTGTGCATGGCACAGAAATAATCCAATCCATTCCATTATTAAAAATGTCCGCTTAAGACCTAAATCGTTGGAGTTTAGATAATATTTTCTATAACCTTTTAAAAAGTTTTTTTTTTATCCAAGCATAAATACTGCTTATCCATGACCCAACTTACAATATATCGATATTTGATTTTTAAAAACACATTGACTTTACGTTATAATTGATATAACACAATTGAAATAAGCACGATTCCAACACAATTGTATGACGTTACATACCATATTAGAAAAAATAAATAGAACTAACTTGTTACTTCCTTTATTGGTATTATATTTCCTAACTCCACGATAGTAAATGATATAATCCTATTAGAAAGCACGGTAGTCTAGTGGTAGGACGCCGGACTCGTGACCGAAGGGTTGCGATTCGAGTCACGGCACGGTATGGTGTTGTATGTTTGAGCAAGATACTTTGCTCCGCTTGTTCCAGTCTCCTCAGCTGTAAATGAGTACGTGGTTGGGCAGCGCTCGAATTGTTGAATGCTAGCTGTTAGCGCCGAAATGGCAGCTCCTGTTGTATGCTCCCCATGGATCCGAGAAAGATATCGGCTGGTTGCAAAGGTCCTATAACCACGGATAAAAATGTGTGAACGGCTTTGAGACGACCTACGAACTAGGTTGTGATAGAGCGGTATATATTATAATATTTACATTTGCATGGCATTGTCGCTATATAGCCTCTTAGAAAGCTGTGTCGGTGATGGGACTTTAATTACCATGAATCACGAGACATAATTCTTAGCGTATTAATACAACACTGACCGGAACTACAATATCCAATATAAATAAACATGACGGCTGCTGAAATATCGCTGGGCATTGTGAGATTTGACAATGCCACTGTAAATTTATGTGCAACATAAAATTAAAAAAAAAAAACCACTTTTATTACAACGAAAACAAGACCAATGTCTGCAATATCGTTCAAAATGCACATCGGTTGAAATCACCAATGCCGGCAATGGAAACAATTTTAACGCTCATGCAATTTATCAGAAATATCGTCTGTTACACTGCATTGATCAACAGGGGTTCGTTACAAATGTCTGAAATACGCATATTATATAGCCCTACTGACACATATGTTCCAGACCTACTGATATGCTGATATGAGTCACAGCACACATAATCATTTCAGACATTTGTAACGAACCTGTGCTCCGTCGCAAGATCACTCACTTCAAACGCTATCAGTTTCACGCGTCTCGCATCCACCAATCCTTAGTTGCTGACGACATGTCAAACAACGAGGATGTTATAGAATCTACCGACTGTTGTCAGGTTCCCATACAATCAACAAATACATTCACGTTTGGATTCTTCACAAAATGAGCAAAGAGAAAAGTTCGAATTAACTTCCAAAAATAACTACTTCGAGGAGGGCAAGGTCGGATTTACGGTGTTCACTGTATTTGTCCATGCGCGAAATTTTTTCCTGGGAAAAATCGAAACAAATTCAAATCTAACATCTAGCTCAGAGTTCTATTGATTAAATCACCCTATATACACATCATACGCAATTGTATTGATACTGAATTGTGGAATAAAATTGAAGTGTTTGTTAAAATTTCAAAGTACTACTTTGTTTGCCAATCAGCACACGACAATACGCTGTTCAAACTATTGAACGAAATTGTGTGGACTGTCGATAAGGCGGGCATTTTTAATTTTAAATATAAATTTTAAGTTACAAAATAACATAAGAGGCAGAGAAAACGTGAATATAAGTATTGAACTGTTTTTGTATGGTATTTATGATCTATTTGAATGACACATAGCGCGCATTATGTTGTTTGCTTGCAAAGCTGTATCATTCAAATAGATCATAAATACCATACAAAAACACTTCAATGCTTAATTATTTACAGACCAGGATTAAAAAAGATATCAGAAAGAGAAGTTTAACTACGTTAACATCTAAGGCAGCGAACCAACAATGTATCATTCACATTCTGGTGTTCTCGTTACGACATCTGATGACTGTTGAAAGGTCGTATTGTCGACCATTTTATCCCATGTATGTTCAATGGGGAATACCTTAGACATTAGGAGAGACGTATAACGGCTGATGGCCTGTAAAGCGTCGCTACCGGTGACATTGCATTGACTTGTTGGAGAATATGACCTCTCTTTTGAATAAAATATATATTACCACAGCTCAGTTTCCCAAAAATACAGCCTCTTAATGCTACGTATAATCTAAAAGTCCACTCAAGTCTGCCTTAGATATTCCCGATCTACAGTTATTGTCTATAACTAAAGTGAATCTATCTATACAGACTTTCTATTTCAATACTACCACTCGTCTGTAGCTCCACTCCAACCTACGTTACATACCATCCGTGTGCATTGAGATGGCCAAGTGGTTAAGGCCTCTGACATTCTGCTATCACTAGCCCTTCATCACTGGGTCGCGGGTTCGAGGACTACGTGCGGCAGCCGCCATGTACTGGCCGTAGGTCGGTTTGTGTTTTCCCCGGGAACTCCAGTTTTCCTCCACAACCAAACCTGGCACGTCCGTAAATTACCAAAGCTGTTAATAGGGCGTACAATACAAACAGACCAAACTCTAATGAACAGCAGAACTTGGACCTGTGGAACAGCAAACGATAGATGCACCGCCGTTAACGAAACCAATTTGTTCGCCTTTGTCTTCGGGGCATCGATGGTTCAATATATGACCTCTGGATCCTCAACCTGTTTCTGCACAAAAAGGTATCGGACGCTCTGCAACAAGGCAAATAACTTGCATAACCAAACGAGTCAATGGTGGCATGTGTATCGTTTGAATCTGTGTTAATCACTGAACAAACACTTGATGATACACACACATTGCAGAATGTACAGGGAAGACCGAAGCAGGTGCCTTAACCCCAATATGAAACTGTTGTATGTTGTTTATCCATGGCGTTGTTGGTATTTCGATTTAATTGACGTATAACTTTGATACTCTTGATGATAAAGGTGTTTTCAATTGTCATAAGAAAGTGAGCAATCCCTATTTGCATGTCTATATCATTTAAACAAAAAATGCTCGTTACAGTTTATCTATTCCGTCTTTGCGTAATGCCGAGTTATCTACTCTTGGGAGCATGTATTGATTGTTACGTCAAATTTTGAGAAAACGACGTAATTTTCTCACACAGACCAATTACGTAAGAATCAATACATGCTCCCAAGAGAGGATAACTCTGCAATACGCAAAGATGGAATAAACAGTTAGGAACACTTGGTATGTCGAGTCTGCTAATCAGACCACGTTTGCGTGACTTTTCCAAACAAATGTCGATTGACTTCACTACTACCTGTGCAAATCCAAATCAGGAAATCTGAACCGCTACTGTTGTTCTTATCAACAGAAAGACGCGGTCGCGGTAATTATCTAGCCCAGTTGCGCTGCAGTAATGTCGGGAATGGTATAAAGGGGATGTTACTCTAGATATACAAAAAAACTACTATTGAACTATCCTGTGTTTGCCTGATTAAGGGAAAGCCTATTTAGGTTTAGTGCTTTATATCGTACTCGTCCAATTTCTATTAAAGTTATTTTTAATCTGATATCTAATATCTGATATAGGGCACACCATATTGTAAAGGTTTGGAATACGTCAAACAGACGGAGCCCAACATTAATTCTCGGGGATATATTTCAATTGAATTATTTTATGTTCTCGGACCAATTGGTTTTTTTTTTATGGCGAGATACAATAATGAGGTATTAACTAAAATTGAATTATTCCATTGAAAGTAAACGTTATTACGTTTATCCAATTAATAACACTGTCTGGATGTGGAAATATACATGTAATAACTCTTCAAGGAACATTATTATCGTTGTTAACCTATGACAGAATGAACGTTATTTATGTAAGATACACTTTGCTGTGACAGCATTGTAAACGTATCTTTATATTTCGACGACAGGAATAAACAGTACTTACATATACAACACCATCTGCAGGATTCACAGAAACTCACGATGTTTTCTCTTTGTAGTTTGCTCTTTCTTGTTCTATTCAGAACAGTTTAAATCGATGATGCAAATGTGGTAGATTGATGTGTTATTTTTACTTCTGTCTTATGAACAATTCATGCCTGACTTTATTGTTTAAACTATATTATGCTAGAATTTACTTGATGCTTCCGTTGCTGACGTGTACACCATTTTGGCTGTACTTTACATCTTGTTTCTTGTGGTCAATATATACGCCTGGGCGTTAATACACCTTTCAGGATAGGTCATTTTTCATGAATACCTGCTATTGTTAAAAGCACGTTGTATTTATTGAAATCGACAATATATGGTATCATGACTCATACATCTTTAATAGAAGGCAATTTCTTAATTAAACATCTCCAAAGGCATAGCTATATTTATGTATATATCTATATCAAGACACGTTTATTGCTAAGCAATTTGCTTAATTTATGCTCATAACACCATAACAAATTTGTTATCTAAACTGCTATTAATTTGTGAGGGTTATTATAAGTTAGCAACATTAATATTACAATATTATGGAACAAGACACCTTAATGGTTTCTGAAAATATTGGCGGTTATTGATTGGCTGCTGATGACGTAAATCATGATGCTGGCCCCTAATTGGTCAACGTGACCTGAGGGTCGCGTCCCTTTGTTAATAAGGCAGCCATCTTGCGAATCGTTATCATCAGATATACCTTGATATTTAAAACCCACACACTTCCGACCCTCTGTTTTTGTGGTCAGTACAAAATTGACATTTTTTGTTATAAGGCTAGCTAAGATGGCGTTGGCGGTTTTTGTGGCAACTCCACTAGCTAAGATTTTTAGTTATTTTTAATTGTAACATGTATAATTTGTAAACTGACAGGTTGTTGCTAGTTTGTGTTAAAGTGAGACAACACTTGCCGACCGGTCAGAGCATTGGCTAAACCTACCTCCCCTAATTAACAGGGTTGGGGCAGCCGGCTCGCAGTAAATAATGTAAAGATGTGTTTGGCAACCTCACCTTCGGCGTTTTTTGGCAACCCCATTTAGGGTAGCTAAGGTTTTTATTTATATTTTGATTGTAGTTGCTACCATGTTTGGTATATTTGCAACCACTTTGTATACTCTTAAGTTTTTGATAGAGGCCACATGGTGGCTTAATCATTATAATAAAGTTGATGTCACCCATTGGGTGGCCATTTCAATCACATTTCTTGTTTGAGATATTCTTGTTATGAGTGGAGAGGCATACAAATAATTTAACTTTGCTTGTAACACGCATTTTCATTGGCTTAAAGATTTATGTTATCAGCCCAGAACGTAAAAAAGTGACGTCGCTTTTGATTGACTGATACAGCGGCGTAATAGAGAAAAAAGTCCATCAATAAAAGTTGATTTCAACAGGGATGGTGTATAGTAGATTAAGTTATAAGGATTTACTTGAATATATTTGTTATGTTATGGAGCTATAACACAAAAAACCGGAGTGTACTCTCATCATAAAACGCTTCGCGATTTATTTAGAGTACTATCCGTTTCTTGTGTGTTATATATCCATAACATAAAAAATATATTCAAGTTAATCCTTAAATAATTACTGAGAGAAATTAATTTCACTGCATCAGCTGTTTCGCAGTATTCCTCTTTGTTATCAAATCTAGAAATTATTCAGAAAAGTACAACTCATCAAGTCTATTCTTCCTAATTATCAAGGGTAGAATAATTGATTTATCATATTTTCCTTTAAGTGAACATGTTTGTTAATGTGTATAAGCACATGTATGTTTTAATCAAAACGCCTGTTAATGTTGATGTATTCAAATGAGGTGTTTGATATTATGCTAATATATTTACTTGAAACATTGTGCTCATTTGACATTTAAAGACGAAATAAACATAACACCTAAGGTGGTTAGGTCAACATAGACATGTTATAAGTGACTAGGTCGTTATTTAATCTTTCTGATCCGATTTCTTTAAAACAACCCCCAGCATGACCAACGACAGGTGCAATTTTAGATATTTTAATATTGTTACCTTATTTTCAATCAAATGTCATGCCAACATGTTTTGAATGCTAACCTTGCACCTTAGTTGCGGTCACATTTTGATTATTAGATGATTAAAATTTAGATTGTATCACTGGCTGCCAGGACAGGCCCCGATCTGTGTGATTGCAAGCCAAGTAATGTTGGACGGCAGTGGTGTATAACATATCATTTCGGTTATAATTAACGTAATGCGAAATCAATTTTCCTATTTTACCTTGGCCAAGAGATACGTTATCCGACTGCTGTTATTACATTTGACGTATTGTAATAGATGTATTATCAATTACATCTTGACTTTAAACCATGCATGACTCATGTTTTAATCGTGTGTTCTATAATCAGTGAGTTGTATATTTATCTTTGATAATATCACAAATCCTTTACTAAAATGTACAAACGTGCCCTTTTCATATTGAGATCATTTGATTTTAAATTCCAATTCATTTTAATAGTATTCACGTTCCTTTCAAAGGTTTTCTGGTCTTTACAAAATCAATTTGTTAGTCATTCTTGTAGAGAAAGCATGCTTCTCTAGGGAAAGATGATCTGTAACAATTGATTTAATTTAGTCTTAAGTTGCATCGTGATGTTAACTATTCATAGGTACAAGACATGGACATATTTAAGCATTACACAGCATTCTGGTCCTATAACATGAAACAGATTGCTGTTTTATGCTTATGTTTACTTTATTTTTTATCTATTTTTCATTTCTAATTTCACAACGCACTTTTAAATTCGAATCTTGCAGTGTTTGTTCAAGAGGTAGAACAGCCCAGGGAATTGCTCACGGAATGTTGTCTCTTGACTTTTCTCGTAAACTGTATAGTTCGTGGAACTAAGCACAAAAATATAAAACTATTTCCATAAGTTAATCAATCAATATATTCAATTCACATATTGTATAACTAGTCTTACATAAAACGGTGAATACTATTGAATCATAGTGAGATTATTTGCTTATCCGCTTGCTAGTCTAGAGGGGAACAGTTATCCAGTAGTTAGTCGGTCCCGCGGGGATATCATTGCGCTTTTGTTACGGTCTCATAACACGGGACTGATCTTGGCAGTGTTATAAAGTGGCAATGCAGAGCAAATGTAAATTGTTAAAGTCTAAAAATGTTGGTGGCACATCATATACCTTTCCGTCAGGTAATCTCTTTTTTTTTCAACCTAAGGGGTGCAATATATGGAATTCAAATAATGTATAACAGTATTGGGACATTCATCTTGATGTATGAACAATGTATCAGAAGCTTGGGTATTTTTGTCATTTTTCGATTTTAGATATAATATGAAATCAATTTAAACTCAAAAGATACAAATTAATAATAAATAGGAATCACTTTATTTGTTTCTGTTCTGTTTACAATTCATACAGAAATAGCAATTGTTCATTTCTTTATCTTTGCCTTGTACATTGCTAAAATTTCTCATTAATGCTGGAAAATATTAAACCGTCATTTGTTTAGTGTGTGAATGAATATCATTTGCAATTACACAAGAAAATGAAGTAAATGTTTCGAGAACATTTGATATTAAACTTGATTAAGGTTATAAAGAAGACAAAAAAAGTTGATCTTCTTTACCAAAATAATCGATGTTTAAATATCACAGAATCCCCTGATAGATGGCTTTTTTTTCTTCATGCTGCAAATTACACGCCCGTGATTGATACATTTACAACTGTTAAGGTCATCCGCCGCCATGAATTTGTCTCCTTTCTTGTAAATTTCTGCGCCATACACACATTGACCTGCCGGAAAAAAAATCATGTATTTTTAACAAAATGGATTATTTAATAATAATATCAACTCATAATTAGGTTTGAGTTAAATGCACTGCTTGTATGTTGAGGTGTTATTGTCGAAGTGCTAGTAAGCTGAACAGTTACGCTATCGATACTAGTACTATATTAAATACATTGCCGTCCTTTTCTGTCCTGAGGATTCAGTGACAGGTGCCCACGTGACGTGTCCTTAGAAGATCGTAAAGCTGTCAGTGAAACAATTACAACAACATGTTTATACGATGAGCTGAATATATGGAGCTGTCTGTATGTGGTACGGGTGAGAAGGAGCTGTCACATTGATAGGGCCTGCGATTAGTTTTAATGACGTTATTTCCGTCGAAAAATGATTTACTACGGTGATTTAATTAGACGCCTGTGAGTCAAATATCGAGTATAACCCGAGGGCTTATAAAACATTGTGTAACAAATTATCCAAAAATAAAACCATGACCCGGGAGTGTTTGAACCTCGAGTTTTGTCACGATATTGGTGCATTGTATACTATTTCTAAGAAGATGCAGACCGTCATTCACATATTACAATTTATTTCGTTATTTACATTTGGCCGACATCAAAAGGAAAACAATGGTTGCGACAAATGTGTTTCCCATTTTGTTTTTCTCCCCAGTTTGAGAATAAGATATAAGCCGAATTTGATCGTCATATTATTTTATTTCAATCACGAAGTCTTCTCATGGACGTATATTGTAGAGGACCTATTACAAAACTAGTCACAAGCATCTCACTCCTCCTGTGTTATTATTGTAAACATAAACATCGCAAGCTTAATTATATTCATATTTTACATCACAATGTATTCTACTAGTTGACTACTAGTTCGAGAGGTTTGCCAAAACATGTTCTGATAATTTATTGTCTGTCATGGTTCATTGAAATCATAGTTTATAAAATAAATTATCTGTTATGATTTTCTAACGTTATAAGGGTTCCATATAAATATCGTGTCTTTGTTCCTAAACTTAAATAGGTAGTATATCTCCGTACTCCCAGCCAATGTTTAAGGAGTCTTCTGTAGGGGATGCTTGTGTGTGTGTGTAAAGACATCAAACGTCTGCGATGTCTAGGACATTTGACAACAGTCCCTTGAGAAAAAGAACTGAATGTCTGCATATGACTAATTGTTGTTTATATGTGTGTATATTTACAGTTAGTACTGGGCTAAGAGAGATATGTGTGTGTTTCCCCGGGACCATTTGGCAGGAGTACTAAGGTCAAGTGAGAATAGTGAAAATCGTTTGAATATTTTATATACACAATTCAAAATATAGTGGAACAAAAAGGATATAGTTCTGCTTGTATTTCAAGCTAATATAACAAGCAAACACATACAATTTAGATAAGTATCAAAACAATAACGCCGTCTCACTGTATTTCGAAAGGAGAAAATGAAGGCGACCTTAGTTTTACACTTATGCGAAAATAAGAACGAAACATCTAGGGAGAGGGCATATGTAGTATTTTCCTATCGACCGATTGTCTTCAAATCAGATGGATTAACTAAAATATTATAAAATGGGGAAGAAGACAAAAACATAATAATTCGACTAATAAGATACCCCCTAGGACAATCTTCAACCCGAGGGGTGATTTATCTGGTTGTTTAACCCGAGGTTCTGCCGAAGGTTGAATGATCGAAGCATCATCCCGATGGCTGATATTTCTAAACATTGTAAGAACTTGCTCTTAATCAATAGGAATGTATGCCGGTGTTAGTGTCCGCTTGGTATTTCTATACGCATGTAGTTCGATGGTAGTTTATACAGGGATTATATTCAGACAGGTGGAAATTACTGGAGGTTGCTACACATTATTAACATATTGTAATTACACGTGTAATTTGTAGAAGTATATAAGTTGCAAACATGTGACACGTACATATATAAACATGTGGTATTGTTTCCTCGTGTATATAGCACTCGAACATGCACAGGGACTATACACTGGTGTATGGGGCAGTTATGTGGCAGCTATAAAAAAAACAAGAATTACAGGCAGGCTAAAACTATAGTTAGGCGGTAGTTATATGTAGTGATAGCTATGATATACAGGTGGTGCATTACAGACAAGCAAACTTTAGACATAGATGGTGAATATAATCACAGGTAAATATTAGAATGTGATAGCTAGTCATCAGGTGCTTATTGCATACAGATGGTATATGTGGATGAGGATCGATAGTAAATATAGACATGTAAATTTGATATCATGCAGTATAGACAAATTATTTGCATAGTGAAGTGGTAGCCATAGAGAGGCTGTCCTTATAAACATGAACACTTGTAGTACATTAATGAAGGTTTAGACAGATAGTGTATATATAGAGAGTGTCCTTATAAACATGTACACTTCTAGTACATTATTGAAAGTTTAGACATATACTAGTTATAGACAGACTGTTCTAATAAATATGTACTTGAAGTACATTATTTGTTTAGACGGATAGTAGATATAGAGAGGTTGTCCTTATAAACATGTAAACCTAAAGTACATTATTGAAAGTGTAGACAGATAATAGTTATAGGTAGGCGGTCGTATAAACATGTACACCTATAGCACAATATTGAAAGTCTAGACAGATAGTCGATATAAACAAACTGTACTTAAAAGCATGTACTTGAAGTACATTATTGTAGGTGTAAACAGGTAGTAGTTATAGACAGACTGAACTTATAAACATGTACACTTGTAGTGCATTCGTGTAGGTGTCAATAGGTGGTAATTATAGACAGGTAGTAGTTACAGGCAGGTGTTAACAAGATGATAATAATTAGAATTTGAGGTTCTTATATACTGCTTTATCACTACCTAGTTCGTAGGTCCCTGGGGAGCATAAAGCTGGTGCTGCCATTTCGGCGCTCACAACTAGCATTCTACAATTCTAGCACTACCACAACCACGTACTCATTTACAGCTGAGTAGACTGAAACAAGCGGAGTAAAGTATCTTGCTCAAAGATACAACACAGTGCCGTGTCGTGGCTCGAACCCGCCACCCTTCGGTCACGAGCCCGGCGTCCTACCACTAGACTACTGTGCCTCCAAAAGATGTAGGTATTACACGTACATATATACAGGCTGTACGTTTAGACAGATGGTAGTTTACAATGTAAGACAGGGGATGTCAATAAATAGGAGATATTAATAGAAAGTCTGTTATTATTATAAACATTCGGTAATTTTAGACAAGCGATACATGTAGTAATTGATAAAATATATATCAAAGAGCAAGGAATAAAGGTCAGAAACGGGTTACTTATTAACGGCTTGAAGGTATAGACTGATGACTTCCATAGACAAATGGTAGTAATGTGATACACACGGTATTTTAAGGTTATGATAATATTTGTATACTAAACTTATTGTAATAGACAATGACAATAAGACATGAACTTCACAATATACAAGGTTAGATATAGGCAGGTATAATATATATACAGGTGGTCCATCAGGGTCTTGAGTCACAATATGACGTAACGTTGAGATAAATATAGTCTAATTATTTGTCACGACATACTTCATGTCATCTCGTCCAACAATCACATTATACAAACATGTCACAGCAAAGAGGTTTTACTTATGCGTATAACACTTTGCAGTTAGTCACCCCCTCGATAAATCCAATACCACCTTTAGAACATATAAACATTGTTACATGCAGCAGTCGATATCATATTACTTTTTTTATAGATACCAGTTTCAGTTCTTAATTACATGTACATAATTTATGAATATGTCGTATATAATTCACGTTTTTTATTATTGGTATTTTTGCAGAAAAAAACTGTCATTTAAACAAATGCATAATATGATATTATGTCGTTTATCACTTTATGACAGGTAATTACCTTCACAGGTCAGACAACGTCGGTCTGGAGTTAAATTAGGTACCAATTTTCTTCCTTTCTTAAAGCACTCGACGATAGGGCATCCGTAGTACTTACAATATGAACAGTTATCATCATCTCTTATGCAATGTCTTTCCATAAAAAAGACTCGGAGTGGCGGTGCTTCGCCGCAGGTCTTTACGCATTCCCCATACATAGATCGTTTAAAGCCCACTGCCAAAAAAAAGAAATGTATTAGTTTTGATTATTATACCTCTACTTAATTTACACTATACAAAAGTAACCACATAAACAAGCTATTTCCCCTTTAACTGCATGCCAGGGAAATAGTTCGTCTGAAGGGGTGCGATAGTTTTGAAACTATTTCCCTCTGAAAAGGCGGGAAATTGAGTGACCACGTAGGCGGGGCCTGACCGAATATTGACCAATCAGCGCAATCGAATTACGTCGGCAATTTCTGGCCAGCAGAGCCGGTACTTTCTGGACCGACCTTCACCTCGCATTGTTGTTGACAACTGTTTTTTTCTGATGTTGATTTTCAAGGAAATTTTAGTTTTGTTAATAAAGTGTCCCAACTGTTAAAAAAACTGTTGTCTAATAATAATTAGAATATTGTAAGGGAGTGTTTGTATCGGTATAATGAAACAGTTAAAGTATGGGTATTTCGGATATGGCCAGGACTATTCGGGTATGGCCAGGTCTATTTCCCTCGGCTTCGCCTCGGGAAATAGTCCTGGCCATACTTTAACTGTTAACTATACCATTGTGTGGAAATGCAGATAAAAATCTTGGTTGCCTAATTTATTTTATCGACTAAATGTTATAATAAATGACGCGATTTTCATAATTAAATAATACGAATATTGCTAAATTTTAATATTGGTGGTATACAATTTATCTGATGACGACAGTTTCATCTTCAGTTGTACTTTAGTACAAGAGAATGAAATATCATCAGTTCATCAACAAAGTCAACCAAGCAGTTGCTTAAAATAATAACCAGCATGAGGAATACAAATGTATTTTAAAATTTAGTTTTAAGATGCAGAAAGCCATAACATGCACCACAATTGCACTTTATGGTCGGTGCGTGCAAATTACATTACCATTGGTACTAAAAGTCAATTTAATACAACCACAAGTCGAAACATTTAAAAAGATATGTAGCGTGCATCAGAAAATGAAAGATGCATATAAAATGTATGTTAACGGTTCAAGTTTACAAGTTTCTTTTATAGAGGAAAACGTTCACTTCGACTAGCATTTTATGTTCATCGTGACAGAATAAAATCCAGCCACAAAATACGGCCGACCTTGGGGACTGGTATATGGAGATAAAAGAAAGTATGACTTACAAATATAAGTAAGAAGATAATTCCTGGTGTATCTATTTTTTATGGAAAGTGAAGAAATCCGAAGATGTTTTATTCAAATAACATGCAAATGTTTCATACACATTTTAAGTGGATGCGGAAATATTCTAGGTAGTAGGTTTGAGGACCCAGAGGGAGATTAGCCATTGACTAAATCAGGTTTTAATCCTCAATAAATAAAGTTTGTTATTATTATTTACCGTAGAATTATGTTTCCTTTATATTTTTTACATTATATTGTCTACTAAATGCACAAAGTATATCGATATACCATAAAGACAATATACAATGACAGATTTGTACTTCAAGGGAGATATCACTAAAAAGCGAGCATTTGAAAATGATATAGTCATAAAGTATGAAAGAGTAAATAAAAACAAATGTATGGAGGATACGTCATTATATGATATTAGTGAGCAAACATATGATGACAATAAGGATAAGTAATCCTATATAGAATATGTCCAAAATATTCATATAAAGCAATGCAATTTTAAGTAGTGAAAACAACTGGGTCCGTATACATGAAATCGTTCTCATACTTAGGCAAATATTCTGTGCTCAAACCAATTGTTTTTAACTCGCCTCAATCATGTCAAACGATCACAAAGTCAAATGTAAACAATTAAAATATGATTTGCCTTAAAGGCTCTTAAAAATATTTCCAAATCCTTGACAAAATAAGATTTCTTCATTAATTGAGAACCTGAACGAAAACCGAAGCTTAAGCACAACAGTTATGCTTGAGCATGAGAAAGGTTTCGGGCCCTGTTTTCATTTTAACTTTGCACGAATTTAAAAACATTATCAGAAGTGTCATTTCGAACAATTATGAATGTTTTTAATTTGTACCGGAATATATGGAGAAGTGTTGTTGCTGGTATAAACAATGTGTAAGACAGATACATTATGTTTATATATTGCGACCCAATATACCCATTTCAATGTAGGCCGCAACAGAAGCTCTAATCAATCGGCAATGAGATAATGATTGCATCCAGTAACACATTTAGTGCACGAAGATGATGTAAGACATTCCTTACAAAAATGATCTTTGTAGCAAAAGTAGTAATTTTAATTATAACCTTGCACATTTTTAAATATTTTATATTTTAAATAATAATACCGACATAGTAATCTCCAGCCATTTCTATTTAATAACAAATAACTTACCAACATAGCCTATGATACTTATCCACACCAAGGATCTAAATGTAGATACGTACATACTGCTACCTGATTCCTACAAAGACAATAGAAAATGTAAAAATCAATGATTACCAAACTGATTATCACAAAAATTGATGTACAGAAAGCATGTTGTCATATTGTAAAATCAGTTATACGTTTATACATTAAACAAGTCTCGAAATATTTGTTTGAATCATTTTTGATTCTAAGCAAAATGTTTATCGTCTTAATTAATCATTACATTTTATATACAAAATAAAAACTGTGGACAATGACACATACCAAAATTCACGACCAGTGTAGAATGCCTCCTTTCTGTTAAATAAAACTGTTTTCCAGCTTGAAACATTTCTAGATCGTAAGGACATCCATCACGCATATCTCGACAGAAAGAAGGTGTTAGATAGTCCAATTTTATGTAAATGTGTCTAGATTACAATTTGTCATAGAATAATCCAATGCCCATAAGTTATGAGTTCAGTTAGCTTCATGAAATAAACATCCTTTCTATTTCTTCTTACTCTTCAAAGTATTTGTGTTCAGCAGGTTGCTTGTTGTTGACATGATGAAAAACTGTCATTCACCTAGTGATATATCCTAATACCATAGCAATCTAACAGTTGGCGATAATATTCCACTTAACTCTTCTGCTTCAGACATCGTCCATCTCTTCCGTAATAAACTATGAGATTTTATTTGCATATTAATTTCCAGCGTATTTTATAAGAAAATTCAGCAATTAACTTATTTAGATGTACCTTCGCGTGTCACTGGTGACAACATTTTGTTTTTCATTAAAATCATAATTTCACCATTTATGTCGTCCTTTCTCGCAATATTAGTTTATTGCGTTATGTTTTCTTAACCAAATATTAATTTCCCAAAAATGTACGTTTGTCCAATGGTATTTTTTGAATTTATTCAGCTACCATTATTTATACTAAATAAACTAATTATATCACATATATTTAACGGATAGAAAGAGTTTATGTTAGATGTGGAATATTCATACATGTATCATAGTTTCATTTTTTTTTTAAACTTGCCGTATATATGATATTAAATAACATGCTCTTTCATGTGTGATATGCTGGATGACGGATTTTATGGTGCCCATAACGTTGTCTTGTTGTGTTGTTGCCATTGCCCCGTACATTGCTTTGAGGACGTAACATTAATACACTTTGGGGTAGCTTGGATCGTTTATAAATCTGTAGAATCTTGACCTTCTGAAATACGTAATCATATTCTTCTTGTACATTCCATAATGCTGTCTATGTATAACTTTACTTTGTTTATATTTTGTCTTAGTTTATCTTTTTGTTCTGTTTTTCATCGTTGGTTTGATGCCATGACAGTATTCTTTAATTGAATAATAGTACTGGATCATTTTATCTACAAGCTTACCCACTGATATGTTTGTATCTCTATTATTAATGAAAATAATTTTGCATTTCTGTCTTTATGCACATGGTAACACACTAAAATATCTGTGAATAAATTACAACCATACAGTTACGAATAATTGCCTCATTGTATTCATTCCGTGTTCAAACCTACGTCACTGTGTTTGCCTTATTCCAAAGTCACAATTTAGTAAACTAACTTTATTTGACTTAATTAATACATGTAACATTTTTACGGATTATTAATAAAATAGTCGAAATATAGAGCAGTAGAGAAGATATCCGCCTTTTAAAACCACAATGGCAAAGTAATATTCTCAAATTATATCTATTCATTTTGTACCAAAAGGATAACTTGCATGATGGTCAGAAATATCATCCTATGATACAAAACTTGAAGTTGACATTTTGAGTTGTGGTGTGTCGTACGCTATCAATGTGACAGAAAAAAGCAGGAAATGATATTATATATGCAGATGGTTTGCACTTGTCTCTATATATATAAACGCATTATCTAGATATACATGTTACAATAATGACAATTATGTGCTGATAGTTAATGCAAGATGGACTGAACCCATGTTGAAATATAACCCTATGTCTGCATAAATCCATAGTAATGAGGTGCTACAGTACGCATTAGACACACAAATGGCCATGTTAAGCGACTTTAGATCCATATGAAACAACAAGGATTGGAAGATACGGAGAAAGCTATTTCAGATGTTGTTTATTTTTGGGTGTTTTTTTTCGATATAACTTAGTTTTCAAATATAACCCATTCAATATGAGTTCTAAGGCAGAGTTTTTTTCCTTGCTTCATTTTTTGCAGAATACAGAAAATCTGAACTTAACTGTAGGTAGACGCTGATGCATACGTTGTTACCGATTGCTGACGTCATTATACGTAATGTTATTTTACACTTGAGCTAAAGTAAACGTTATTGTTGTAAAAAAGTACTACTCTCTCCTTTGATAGGAATGCGTTTCCTCTTTTCGTTTTCCTTTCTCCATCTCAGTATCCGTTGTTATCTTATTGTATTGCCTTTTTACCTTTTTATATACTTCCGTGTATCAACGACGTGTTGTGCCTCTTGCCGTACACACACATATATATATATATATATATATATACTATTACCTTGTATGGACGAGCGGTTATCCCCATTAACGTTGTATTGACGCAATATTATCCCCCTACTCTACGTTGCACGGCCGCAGTGAAAACACNCCACCCACCCCCACCCCCCAACAACAACAACAACAGTACAGTGGGATATGGATGCTTACTTTGTTGCTAAATGTGATCCAATCCAAGCATGGATAACATAATCGTATACCTAGGACAATAACGATGCAAAGTATCGTTGACCCACATGCATTGATACTGATTTATACTATATCTGTTGGCATTGCCGAAATTGTATATTTAGCTAGGTATACATTTCAGAAACTCACAAGAAAGCGCATAGAAAGCGTACCTGCCATCTATTGCAGGTAACCATTTTGACATGGCATTTACCGCTAACCAATTTCACGAAAGATGTCAAGGAACAATATTAATAGGTTCATGTCCTTCAAATATGCCAATTTTATCCAGGCTTTTGACAAGTTTTGTAAACACTGTATAAATAGTTTGGAGAATAATTATGAAGTTTGGGTGAGTAAGAAAATGTTCACCATAATATTGTTCGTCAGCTATATTTTAAAATGTCTCCAGGGCCCGTCACAACAAAGAAACACCTAACCCATTATTCGCTTCTCACGAAGTGTACTTATTCATACTCTGTCAGATACCGAACCGATAGCTCTAATTTTAACTTAGGACGACCTCAAGCAAACCTAAAGGTTATGACAGGCATCTTCTTTTACCGAACGTTTTCCCTACTACGCTGCCATAAAGCGAGCTTGCATCGCAGTGTTCTCAAGTTCAATATGGCGAGTAAATACCTCTTAACCAGAACTCAGCAATGCAGCACCTAGCTCCGGGGCATATGATGAACTCATAAATACGAACGAAAGTCAACGAATAAATGTAGTTGACAGGTTCAACTAACTTCGTAGCACATTTTCTACAAAATAATGTCATAAATGGCGAGATAAAAAAGCAGTGTCGATAAAATAAGTGCTGGCGTCTCATAACTTTACAAGACCCTGTAGACCAGGAGAGACATCGCAAAAGAAAGGGGGAAAATCCAAGATGCATCGGGCATTTATTCGTCCTGCTCTGCTCTTTGACTATCAAAAACGTAAACAGTCTATCAACGCCATGTAAGAAAGCTGACCAACTTATACACTATCCTAATCAGTAAACTGCTTTTTCTTTCTCATTTCCTTCTTCTTTTGACGACTCACTTAAGGTTTGACATAAGTCAACATATACTAAATAACTACAAAAACCAAGTTTGGCATATGTTATAATTGCCTCCTGCTGTTTCCTCCGTTCATCAAAATCTATAAATCTATAACTCCAAACAACGAAATGCCGTAAATGGCTCACCTACGGGTGGCCGTTGAATGTATTATTGATCGTCCATATTACTTAATAATATTTTTTGATGAAATTGCCGCCCATAAAACCGCCAATGCAAATGAATCAAAATACCTGTTCCTTCTGTATAATCTAATGGATAAGTTATTTTAGATATACATGTACATCTTTTATAATGTAGTAACGGTTAAAATATACCAATTATTACAACGAAATGCATAAAATAAAACTGAATAAACAACATTAATTGAAAGGAAGGCGTCAGAGGGGTGGTGGAGGGTGCGTTTTTGTCAATATTTACAAAAATCAGTCTGTGCACTGTTGCTGATCCCTGACGAAGGTGAAGTTTAAGTGCGCTCCACTCAACCGTGACCACTTAAGTTGACCAATCAGCGTTGGCCGTTCACGTGATGTACGCGTGGTCAATATGTGTCTGGCGTAAGTGGAGCCGCTTGTGTAACCGAGGATAAAATTAATTAGAAATTCAAATAAAAATAAGTCTTATAAGTAAGACTTTGCATTTTTCTTTCTCATTTCCTACTTCTTCTAACGACTCACTTAAGGTTTGACATAAGTCAACATATACTAAATAACTACAAACATCAAGTTTAGCATATGTTATAATTGCCTCCTGCTGTTTCCTCCGTTCATCAAAATCTATAAATATATAACTCCAAACAACGAAATGCCGTAAATGGCTCACCTGAATTTATTATTGATCGTCCATATTACTTAATAATATGTTTTGATGAAATTGCGGCCCATAAAACCGCCACAAATCAACGATGAGAAAATTATATTTTAAAACGTTATTTTTCCATGTTATTTTTCCATCGGAGATGCCGCCAAGGCTTTTCCTCGAGTAAAAAAGATAAGTATCCTTAACGCTGATGTACATTATCGTATTTCCCTGTTTCCCGCCAGCCCGAAAGCATCCTTCCTACATACTCCCAGAACTCGACCGAAACCCTAGGATAAGATGGTTCACGTCGGCCCAACACATCCTAAATGTCGTTGGTGACAGGCGTATATTGTTTCGAGAACAAATCGTTGAGAATACACATGAAAATTTGAGCGTGTTTGATCCTGCAAATATACAACCGATTCTTTATTTAGAAGAAATTTGAAGGTGGTTATTCAGTTATATCTTATCATAAACTAAAAGATTTTGTTTGATTTAAGATTTCGTTGGTTGGATTTAATTAAGTTAAGAAATATGTCAAGCTTATATATATACAAACTTTGTGTACTATGGATATTATAAAACCTTATGCAGCATTGTTCCTGTACATGTATATTTAACATATCGTGCCTTACAAACTGCAATGTTTCCTTTTATAACTACGCAGGTTGGAAAAATAGGTTTAGAGACAAAATTGAGGTTTTTGAAGTAAAACCAATTTTCATGATGTAATACTTACCATAACTTTAGTATGCATATACAATACCTACACCCATCTTTGTAGCCCAAAAACAAAAGATTCAAATATCCCTACTTCTCTACCGTGACGTAACCCATATCTCGACGACAGAGCCACGGAGTGATCTCCCTTCCTCTTCCTTTCATGGCGCCTGCTGCCTGCTGAGGTACGGAAGCTATCTCCATTTCAAAACTTTGTTTTGTCGGTTTGGTTCGAGTGTCAACTCAATTTATTGCGCAGTTTGTGTGCCCTATACCCATCTACTCTTGTCAATTCAATCAATTATTGTTGAAAATTAATTTTGTGCCTTTTACGACCGGTTATGTTACTCCACGTGTGCCGGTGGTGTGCCACGCGATTCGCCATTAGTGTGGGTTAATTTCCGACCTCTGTTTATTTCAGTGACTGTTGTTTGTTGCGGCAAACGTTCTTTATTTTAACCGTTTTCGGATTTATATTACGGGTGAAATTCTTTCTACGTTGCGTACTTTGTACTATCGTATATTATTATTTTTTCCCGTGGTTTTCTGCTTGTAAACTTTTGTTGACTTTCGCTTTGGACGGCATGTCTCGGTCGGGACAGCGACGGGGGAGAGCTCATGGGTGTTCCCATTTCTTCGGGGAACGGGACCCTCATGATGCTTGTTCCCAGGTATGGTAATTATTAATGAAATGAAATTGGACATTGTATTCCAGCTTTACGCATGAGGTGAGAATTGTTACATATTTTGATATTTATGAAAAGGAAACTATTTGGTGGTGTCCATGTGAGGATTCAAACTGATCGCAATAAAAAATCCCAGGGGTTATGCTCATCTCCTTACAGCATTGTCAACTTAAGCTGTTCTAACGCGGTTATTTCGTCTTTGTAATATTTGTTGAATTGCTTAAGACAATCCAGTCCTGCAATGATGCAATGGTTTCAGATGGAGTAACACTGAAACATCGAAGTCGCAAACATCTTATTACATATACATACTTGAGGGTGTTCGAAATACGCGCTTAAAGTGTGCACTTTCCGCGATAAGTAATTCAAAGTTAAGATAATTATATTTCTAATACAGGTTCATTTCTAATTCTCTCATCAGACTACAAGTAGTACATATACATATTGAGTTAAAATATATAATGTTCATATGTTACCACATCTCGTTATTGATACATTTTATATATATAATTATACAAAAATTCTTGTAAAGCCCTGACATTATTTAGTCTATTCTTAAGGTTATAGGAGTGTATTGATAAACGGAAATAGGAAGTACATCCCTAGTTGAAAATCCAATGTAGGGAGACAGTATCAACATTTCCGCATATTCTAATGTTTAATATTAAACTGATGAATATGGTATGTTTATTATTGACAGAAATGTGTGTTCTTTCAATATTAAAGTATTTCAAAGCAATCTTTTCTGTACTTCAGGAAACCGGCTACCTATTTCACTACCGTGAAGTTTTTCAAGAAAGATAACTCCTCCATGCAATTACTATGTGTATATGGTTTTATTATTAAGTGTCAATTTTTAATCGTTTAAAGATCATTTATTTTTACACAATTTAAGCATTTATTAAATTGATATTCATTAATGCAATACTAATCTATGGTAGTATCATTTTATTGACATTATTTTGCAAAAAAATGTGTCTTTCATTTTTTTTTTTAATTTCCATTTAAATCTTTAAAATTCTGACAACCTATATATTTATTTTTTTTTGTGGCAGAAAATGTTCTTTACTTCAAAGCAATATAACCACAAAATGTGAAGAAATTCTACTGAGAAATGGTGACACAACCGTATTACCTTAAAGGTGTTTATATGTGGTGCCATTACTACGCTCTCGGGTAGCTATGTATAAAGGTTGTTCCATATAACCGAAAACATGAAAATAAACTCGTGTGGTGTAATTCTTCTAATAGGGACTTCAGGTAATATGTAGATTGTACTTTCCATATACAAAGTGTAGCCGAATCGTTTCGTCAGTTTAATTCGTCATTTTGAGCAGTAACATTCAAGTATACATACGTATACGCTTACAGTGTTGCCGAATCAACATCGATTTTATATTGTTAATCTGTACACAATCAATACCTTCACTGATCTTTTATTTGATGTTGATGATAGAATATGTATTGTACTAAACGTCACAAATAAAACCACTCAACGGGTTGTGCTACATGAATTTTTCCTTATCCTTTTTATTATTTGTTAGCCTTAAATATCTTTTTACTGACCACAAAAACAGTATACAGTTAAATGCCAGTTTGATATATTTTCAAAGAAACATACATTCTTCATATATTACTTTTTCCACCATTGAAACTATCGAATGACTTAACCATCCTCCAAATGGCTTCTATGTAATTATCATTATCAAAACATATCGTGGATGTTGACAATTATCCTAGTGCAAATATTGCACTCTGATATAAAAAAAAAATCATATCGGCGATGTTCGCATTTGATGACAATTCGTTCGATACATATCATGTTTTGCTTGTCGACGCTGTTACACACTTAATTTGATTGTGATGATTTTGTCGTATGTTTTATGTTTACGTTGTAGTACATGGTTCTTTGGATACATATCCCATGATGTTAGTCATGTGATTTCTTTCAAAGTGTTTCGTACATTGTGTAACGTCAGATTGGTGGTAAACATTTTCGACGTGATATCATTAACACTTACTAGAGTATGTTAACGTTATAAGTAAGATGAAGTTATGTATCTTTTATACAAACAACGTTTGGATAAATGTTAAACCTCGTTGAACGAGATATTTTTCGTCCCAAAAACCCGGGGTGTTGAGATATTTTCAAATTGATGAGCGTTAAAAACATTATTTTATGCGTTTTTGATCTTACTTGCCCATCGGCATATGCAAAGGGCAGGGAAATCGGGTCTTTGTGATGATCTAACCAAGGCAACATCTCGGCAAGTGCCTCAAGCGTAAGCGCATATTAAAAATAAACAAGGTGGAATATCCCAATATAACACCTCTTGATATAAAATAGTCTGATTACCCTTTTTATACAACTAATAAAATGTTCTATGTGACGTTTCGATGACTAGTATGATATGTACACTGTCACCTTTATCAGACAAATGACCAATGAAGCGTATGCACACAAAGATTTAAAATATGTACGAGTTGTCCATAAAAACGATGTCGATTTCGGCTACGCTGGAAACGCAAGTACAATAGTTGTTATATATGTACCGAAATGACTCAACATAGCTACACTATGCCAATAGAATGCAAGCCTAGCTGATTGAAACGTTATGTTGACGACATACTTGAGATAATCAAGAAGGGGTCACAGAAATATTTGACCACACATCAACACAATAGATGCCACTAACAACATCAAATTTACATGCGAGGAAGAAACCAATAGCACAATGCCCTTCCTAGACAACCTACTTTAACAGAAAGAAGACGGAACCATGAAGGCATTGGTATATAGACTCATACGGACCAATATTTGAACTTCAAATCTCACCATCCTTTACACCAGAGGTTAGGCGTCATACGCACATTGCTCAACAGATGTGATACAATAGTCACAGAACAACAGGACAAAAGACAAGAGCAGAATCACATCGATAGGGCAATGCGAACATGTGCATATTCGGAATGGGCCCTACAACGGGTAAAAAAAAACCAGTGTCAAAGTAAGGAGAAGAACAAGAAAAGGCCAATCAAGGATAAGAACAAAACAAAAGGTCAAGTGATTATCCCGTATATAAAAGGTATATCCGAAACCATCCAGAGGATATATCGCGGTCATGGCAAAGCAACAGCCATGAAGCCCCACAAGATGTTCGCAATATCCTAGAGCACCCTAAGGATAAAACATCTAAAGAAAACGTCGCAGAATGCGTATACAAAATCGGATGCAAAAACTGCGACGCGTCGTATATTGGAGAGACTTGAAGGCGATTTGGGGTCCGCATTGGTGAACACCGGAAAGATACAGAAACCCAAGAAGGTAGGAAATTCACCAGATCTGAAAGAAAACAGTCGAAGTCCCAGATAAATCAATCGGCAATCACAGACCATGCCACACAGAAAAACCATGTGATTGACTAGGATAACTCCAAAGTTTTGGACACAAAGAGCAATCTGTTCAAGCGGCAGATTAAGGAAGCCATCTGGATACGCCGCAGTGGGCCAGTTCTAAATCGAGACGAGGGGGCTCGAAGACTCTCGCACATCTATGACCAAGTGTTAATAAAGCGTCGCTGAATTGAGTCATTTCGGCACATATATAAAAACTATAAAGAACTTCGCATAATACATACTCACCCACATGAAGAAAATGTTTAGCAAAAAGTATGATAACCATTTTGCATGTACGATGTTGTGCTTTTGTATATTGTGTCGCATGTGTTGACTACCCTACAATTTGTCCATTTGTTGTTGACACTATGTGATAAGTTGTCCTTAGGTCTTTGCGCTGTTACACAGTCTCTGGTATCCTCGTGAGTACTCGTATCTTGCTTTTAATAAGATACATGTACCGACAAATTGAATGTAGAAGCCAACCTTTGAATCAGATTGATAACAAATTAAAAAAATATATACATTGTTTTATGGAATTGGCGCTATGCTTGTCCCTAATAGGTCATACAGACACAATTAGGCCTAGGCTTGGCTAGCATATTATCATTCATTCTAACATTGATCTTAAATGTTCTTAAATGTGAACAAACCTCTAAATTATTTTATAGTTCACTTTTCTTATTTCTTGCGATGCTTCAAGCCATGAGGTGAATTTTCAACATCTACAGTTCCTTTCATATTTGAGAAAATATAATACTAAATCCAGCGCACTTTGTAGATTGATAATCACATAAGTATATCAAAATATATGTAAGGAACTTAGGATTAATTGGTAAAATGAATATGCTTAATAAATAACAAAGATAGAACATCACTAATCCCTTTAATTCGTAACAAATATATGCATTCTGATCATTACGTACAGAAACTAATCGGTTGTCCCAGTTCCTTGGTCTCACACTTGTATTTTCCATTTCTAAAACATTGGCATTTATTTATTCCGTCGACAGAATCGAACATTTCGCCAGAGGGGATATCATTCCCGTGGTAGATGCAACCGGTTTCTGTGCATAAAAAAGTAAATAGACACAATATTACACAAAACACATTTACTCATTAGCAATAGGACATGTTTTCTTTTACCATTTTCAAATTATTTACTTAAATAACAAGCAGACCTTTTGTATACCTGATATTGTTATTGGTTGTTATACGTGTTTAACCTCTGCCCCCCCTGACCATACTAAACCATCATCCCAACCCGAACAGCAACAGTAACATCAGAAACTTAAAATCAGCACCACGACAACATTGTTCCTATAATACAAAATGAACGTCTTCATATACACATTCTAGATGTTTTAATGTTTCGAAATTTACATGTGATGTTTAATTTTGTGGAGGAATATTTGACTTGTTTATCGATAGACTGAAAAGAAAAAGACTGCGTCAATGTACACCAGCCCAAGTCTACGTAACAGTAGAAATGATCCCACATCATTTACTGTTTTACACTGCTCCTTAGTAATGTAACTCTTCTTTCCAAAACATTCCACCTTAATAAATATTAATGGTGCTTTTTTAATCAATAAAATTATGTTTGTATAACATGAAAATATGTATTTCCTTATCGTAATACTTAAAAAAGTGTGTATAAAACAAATACAAAAAAAAAAAATACTAAGGTGTAAAAACAACATAATTGCTATTCAAAACGATAAAACTCGGACCAAAAATAATCCTGGTAGCTGATATCCAAAAACATATGTAAGATGAACACATAATCGGGGAGTACGTACCAGGACAGACCATGCAGTGATTATTCCTTGGAATAGGCGCAACATTGTTGATGCATTCCTGGATTTCAGGACAGTTATCGTTGTAGAATTTGCAGTACGTTTCGCCCTCCCATCCTTTAACACAAACTTTCAAGGCACCGGTGACTTCAGGCACTTCATCCTTGTACTTGACACACTCATGAAACATTTCGCCATAAACTGCAACTGTAAAATCAGTAAAAGAAGTCATTAAAATGAGTGATAAAAACACTGAGGTCAAAAATACCCTTATAGATACAGAACACAATCCAAAACTGGTAAAATTATCATATTTTTACAGCATTTACTTCCCTTATCGAACATGACATGTATAGCTACATGTATTAAAAAAAATCGTTGTACGTTAAATGTTTGCAAATTAGCATGTTTGTCGCATACCCTCATAATCTCAGTAATATTGACAATTAAATGACTATTGTCGTCTAAAATGAAGCAAAGTTTGCTTAAGTCGACTCAGTTGGATTTAAAACATATTGGGGTAAAGGATGTCATCAGACAAAATAAAGTAATACCAATGACTCTTTTATAAATAATTTGTTTAGTTATCTTCTAGAGTTTTATAACGTATAAAACATATCGCGTCTATGAAAGGTTCTATTAAGTTTTGTCTTTTGTCTATATTTCTCCTCTTTTATTTCTCCTGCTTGATTTAGAGTCTAGCCAACAGTAAATACAATTTTTGGTAATTTTTCATTAAAATTGTATTGAGATTGGTTTGAGAGAATTTTTTTCAAAGTAAGGTCATTGTTTATTTCTAACAAAATAGCGATAAGTCTGTGAAAACCCCGAAGGCAAGATGGCGGCAATTTTGGTTATTGTCCAATCAGTCTCAGAATGACGCATGTACAACACTGTACTATGGATAACCATCGTTTGTAATAAGAGAAAGATCTGTTCAGTTCCTGTACAGAAAAAAAAAACATTAGAAACTTAAACCACCAAAATCCAGGAAGGGTGCCTGGTGGTCTTTTTTCAGAGTATTCCCAATCATAACTATGGACCGAAGGAACCAATGCATGAAATTCGAGAAAAATATGTCGTGTACCTCTTGCGAAATAGCGGAAACAAAATTGAACTTTCAAAATAAAGATGAACCTGGCAGCAATTTCGTTTTCGTTTTTTGATGAGGCTCAACATAAAACTTTCCCTGCCTTGGATCAAGCGAAACTTGCATATGCAATGTTAGAAAGATCTGTTCGGGACCTTTTGAGGAAAGGCGATAGCAAGAACTGTTTAAAGGACAGACCCACATAATTGATTCAGAACACACATGTCCTTCATTGAATAAAGGAGACAAAATCTTTTCAACTGCCTTCTCTATTAATTGACTGTATTTTGTTTTGATTGATTCGTTTATGGTTTTAACAAAAAATATATGAATTAAAATTTAATTACAACTTTAGAAAACGCATGCGTGCTAGAAAGGGCAGTTTCGAAGATAAGCAAAAATGCACCAAATTTCTTTTTTCATGGTTTATTTGAAAATATTTATGATGTATAAAAATCATATTGATTAACCCTCTCGAGCACATTGTGGACAATTCTAGAAACTTTATCAAACATGGACATGTCAAAATGTTTAGACGTATAGTTATATTGATTATATTTCATGATTTAATTACAATATACTTACAAGCTATTCCTAAACCTCCGATCAACCACACACCGGAATGAAGTAATGACGTCATTTTTATTTCTGCAAGTAAAAGGAAATACATGATATGAAAGTAAAGGGAAACTTTACCACAATGAATGCTACAGGTATTTTCTAGACATATTTTCTAGACAGACAGGCGACAACCAGACAGATTTAGAAATTTGGAGAGACACTCGAAACAAACGGTTCAGTAATAAATGGATTTAGTATTTCAGTGACATGTTACATACGTCAGAAACCTCAGATATAAAAAATTGTCAGTTATGCAAGATCAATAAATATGTCTGCTTACACCTAGTATATACTTATGTGTTATTTAAAACAAGGCATATATGCCAATATGCCTGCTTACACCACACATATAAGCATGTCAGCTACCACCGTCTATATTAACAGATATAATGAATATAAACATATTAGCAAGCGCCTAGAAATTATTTCATAAAGATGCGCCTGTATGTCAATAGATCAGCCTGCACAAGGCATATACATATAGAAATGCATTTAGTGTGTTTACATGTATGTGAAGTCGTCAATATGCATCTTGTATGTAAATGTGTCATCATGCCAGATTTATATAAACATGTCAGCCCGAAGAAGATTAATACGTATGTCATCCTTAATGGTTTATTAAATCGATCTGCATGCACTTTTCATATACAAATATCAGTATGCACCTGCTATTTCTGTACGGAGTATGTAAGAATGCACCTGGCATATAAACTGCGTCAGAGTGCACTTGGTAAACATGTATAATTATACCAACATGTACTCTGCATATCATTACAGCAACATGCATCTGATGTTTAAATATATCAGCACGTTATACATAAAATAGTTAAAATCTGTTATATAAATACTTCAGCTTGCACAGTATATGTTTGTGTGTTATAGAGATCACAAACTTATCCTTAATATGCAATATTTCCTGAATATATGAGAGAAAAACATGTTTTTCATCAATAATGAACTAGAATTTATCAACGTACATCAAGTACCATCATTTTGAAAAATAGAAGCGGACATCAAGTAAATTTCAAATATAACATTTAGAACTGGTCCGTACCGTTATGCTGATGATTTTCAATGTAGAAAAGGAAATAACATAAACGCTTTTAGCGTGAGTGTATTTGCAGTTATTCACGAAATGAGTTAACGATTTGATTTAATAGTAGGAAATCGCTGTTTTAATTATTGTTAAAGCTGAATATTCATCTTAACCGCCGACAAAATTATGTTTATTCATCTGTATATATAACTTTACAAATATTACTCGAACATTAGAATATTGGCAGCAGAAAAACTTTCAGACATACCAATTTTAGCAAAGTTATATAATTGACAGCTTAAATATTCAAAGTGTCATGAACGCGACTATAGCGTGTAAAACTCATGTGTATAACCACACGTGATCGTTTTGTCTGACAAATATTCGAACCGATCAGAACGAAATGAAAACCATATTGAATAAACAGACAGTTGATGGAGTTAAAGCTATCACAACACAGTGACAGTTCATTCAATAACTTGCCAGTGACGAATAATATCGTGACAAGTATTTTAATATTTCATAAATGAGTAACAAAGCAACCTGATTTGACCTCATGTAAGAACTGTATTTATAATAATATGATTTATTGAAAATAGGCAATGCAAATGTCTCCTATAAATTACAGTTTACTCATTGGTAATGTCAACATGTTGATTTGTTTGGGTTATCAAGCATCCATCAACGTAAGATTAAATGTTTCATTTACATTATTGTGTAACACAGTGTAATTCTCTATCAGATGAATCACGTTCGCAACATTAACAAAAACGTCTTATCATATACCAGCATCGAGGTAAATAGAAACTGTATATTGTTTACGCCATTAAATTCTGTATACATACATCCTTATTTCAATAGAACACGTTTTCTAGTTATTGTTATGAATCAGTTCTCAAAATAACAATTCAGTCATCGTTATACGACCACAGTATTTTCACATAAAAATGAACTTATGATGCATATTGTTTTCAACAATAAAAAAAAGTCACTGAAAAAAGCTACAACAGAATCATTAAACAAACAAATACAAAATATAATAAATATTGTTTTTAACAAAACTGAAGCACACAAAAACAATAGTTTTATAACAGTATCAGTTAACAAACAATCAAAAAATATGGTGGATAGCAATGTAAATTTTAAACGATTATTTAAGAAAAAGACATTCATTTTAACGATTAAAGACGAACACAGAAAAAAAAGTGTAACTAAAGTCAATAAAAGAGATCAACATGAAAGAAAATAAAGCAATGAACATATATAATAACTATACTATAAACACCTGTGCTGTGACTAAAGGGAAGCAACCTGGTGAAAGTTAAATAACTTTATTGCTTAATGTGTTTTATGTTTTATATATATAAGACTTTTATATTATGTATAAATGTAGTTATTACTTATGAGACACATATATATATACAGTGTATAATACATGGAATACCTTATGGTATCAATATAAAATCGTTTAATGAATAGAAATCCTACATCAAAGAGATCGATAAACCAGATGAATAATTAACCAAGTTAACGACCAATTAACTTTTTTGGGGTTTTGTCGCACGAACGTTTTCGCATTAGCAGAAATCGAGAGGCCACTGCAGTGATGTGAACGAAGAGAACGACAAACCCCGAAAATACAAAGATAATATGTTTATCATCTACAAACTACTTTATAAAGTTCGCCAATAACAATACTTCAGTTAAATCTCATACAACACTTTCTAAAATTTGAAGACATGCAAATGCTCCCTGTCACCAACAAAAACGTCAAGAAATAAAAGTTGTGCACGGTGTTATAGCACTTTAAAGACAATGTTCTCATATATTTAACAATGTTCAACATTTTTCAATAATTGTTGATAATACATAGATGGTAATAAATAGAACATAGATGCTCATAATATGGTATCATTAAGTCAATCTGAAACATCACTGTTTTTGTCAAATTCTTTTAAAAACATACGAACGAACGAATTATTTACATGGATACCCTGAAAAAGAGACCAAGTGTAAAGGAAGGGTTAGTGTCTTTTTGCAATATGGAACTTAGTTTAAGATCTGGTAGTAAAACGTTTTGAATATTGGCTTGATGTGGCAAGAAGATGAGCTGGAAATAGACTGTTTGTTTATACTGATTATTTTGACGTTTCGAAATCTGAAAGACAAGTTAGGCAGGTCCATATCCTTATCATCGATAGGAATTTGATAAGTACGTTGTTATATTTATATATGTTCAAACAGACAATATTTCAAACTCAAAAGAAAGGGAAGTGTAAAGGTGAGTTTGTTTATGTTCTTATCATATGTAAACGAATTTGTACAAACGCACCTAGGTTGAGGGAACAAAGACGATTACATGTGATTATAATATTATGACTACAGTGATTTCATAAATTGATGATAATATATTTCTCGCCAAAAATTGATTGTGCTATATTTTGGACATTGCAAATGAACCCTAAATTGATAAAACATTTGACCGAAATTACACTAAAAACTTTATAATTGTTCTGCATTACCATAATATAAACCTACATAAGCTTGCTGTGGTTAACGAGGTCATGGTGGTGGAATCATAACAATGATGACGTTGAAGAGAGTTGGTCGATTCTGGCTGCTTCATTTATTGATAATATGTCTTAAACCTCAAGATGAAATGTTAAATCTTGAATACAAATTCATTATCAAAACACATACAAAATATAAATTTAGACATTGCACTGCGTTCTGCTCTGAGTAATCAGTACAGTACTGTTAGGTGACTTAAAACACGCTTTATTCCATTTGTCTGCAATATCTTTTAAGAGGCCTAAAACTTTACAACATAAAGCTCCTTTATGCTATATCAAAATCCTTGTCTGAGTGAATATAACAAGCTTTTATACATGTAATAGGTAGATCAATACTATTATGGAATTGGCTACTTTTCGTGTTTTATTAATGGACATTGATTTTATGTGATAAGAAATGTATCACATTCGACTATGAACTTGTAGGATAAATGTCAATTACAAAATAAAATTAAAAACAATACAACTTCGCATCATCCGGCAAAATAAAGTGTTAACATCATGAATAACAAAAGTCTTTACCTTACCTCTGCTTTGTTGCGATAGTTCCTGTTGTCTCTCGCGTCCCTTAAAACATCACCAGGTCTTAAGCATTTAAATCAAATTAGCTAATTTTCTATATATATGATATTTATATAACAACAATTGACCTTTATTTTAATTTAAAGAAATTAATCAAAATGGCGTCTTCTTACATATTTTAATAAAGTATTACAAATCCCCTGTCCTGTCTATGAATTCATTTTCAAGAAAGTTTGACACTAATTATCTGTAAGGTTTGACAAGGCAGTAGTCACAATGCTTAAATTATGTACTTTTCACCGAATTTCATTTAACGCGGTATTCATCAGGTTATTGATTCCTCCTTACTGTCAAAAACAGGAATGTGAATCTTTTAATAGAACGTTATAAGGTCATCGCTATGTCAAAAAAGGACAGGTAATTATAAACAAAATTCCAAAATTTTAAAAATATGCAAAAACAAGTTCGAAAAGTCAGGTTCGCTAAAATGTATATTAGGAACAGCAAATATAAAATTCAAATAGGTTATATCTTGTTGACAACAGTAACCTCGTGAAAGAAGAAAGGGCAATGGTATGAATCATACCAGTATATTTCTTATATCAATCATACAGTTTTGGCATATCATTACATATATACAACTTCAGACACGTACTTAATGCCATAATTGTATACATTTTTTTTCAGATGGATATCTGGGATACTAATTTTCATTGTTTTTCATAAAACAAATTTCTTGTTCTGGATACTGTATGACATACGTTTCGGTTGAAAAATGGCACAACCATGCTTTCAAAATTCCGTCTTTGCGTATTGCAGAGTTATCTTCTCTCGGGAGCAGGTATTGATTGTTACCTCACTTGTTTGTGAGAGTAACGTCATCAATTTTTGAGAAAACGACGTAATTTTCTCACACACACCAATGACGTAACAATCAATCCCTGCTCCCAAGAGAAGATAACTCTGCAATACGCAAAGACGAAATAAGTAAATGAAACATTTCCCAACAATACAAAATGAACAATTAAAATGCCATCATCCATGCTTCGATCGGTTTTAAATTATCTTCGTCTAGATCGTTAAACTGCGAGTCTTAATTGTTGCTGTCATTGTCGTCGTCACCTGATCAAAATGGAGTATATGCGCAAGCGCATTTCTTCTATAATTAGCTGCATTTCTCCATTTAAAACCAATGAGGGCTAAGAAGATTTCTTCCTGTGGTTTAGTTACCTGAACTGTTGAACGTTAAATATATCACCGAGAAATATTATATATTAAAGTAGTTTAATCGACAGTGCAACATTTTTGACACAATCAGCCCTTTATTAAGACTCAGAAACATAAAAAGTTTGATATCAAAACAAACAGCACGGAGATAAACAGTTACCAACAAATAGAAACAATACAACATTACAACGTACAAACAACTGTAGCATTAAAACCAGTAATTACTTATTATATGATATGCTGACGTTACCGCATATTATCCCTTCGGCCGGTTAGTAGCAACATGCTAATTACTATTAAGGATTCATCTTGAAAACGTGAATACAATATATATTAACCGATTTAAAATGTAACTAAAAGTAGTTAATCCTTGCATAAAGTTGTTGCATATTAATGAAAGAGTAAACAAAAGATAAGATATTTAAAAAAAAAAAAAACGAAAACAAAAAAAGAGCATCCAATCACATAAAATTAATCAGATTTGATAATAATATAAACAAACACTGATACCGAAAGACAATACTGCTTGAGAAAATCGGGGGAGAAAGCAAGTTATTATTTCCTTCATCAAATGTTGCATCAACCAACGACAATTTAAAAGTATAAATTTAAGTATTTCTACTTAAATAATATTTTCGACTTCTACAATAATAAAATAGTGTAATTGTGAATACGTATGATTATCAACCCAGTGAAATAAAGAAAAAACAATCTCACATGAGTAAGGTCTGCAGCGTCCAGTCAGCACTTCTAACAAATGTGTTCACGACTGATTGCAATGCTTGAAACAGCGCCTTTATATCAAACAGAGCTACGATTTTGATTCAAATTGACAGACGTTTGTTATATAATATATTCGATTTCAAAAGTTAAATTAACATTTTTAATTCAAATTGTTGAATAAACATAATAGAAAGGAATGCTTCAAAAGATAGCATTACAATGTGTTCTGGTACTTTGAGACATAGAAGTGCGCATTTTAGGTATTTACGCATCCTGTTATACAGTTTATTTAGTTAAACAACTAATTGCCAACTACGTTAATACATATCAGCAGATATCAGTACATGAAACACATGTTTATGGTTTGAAGGCATTGTAGTTTAAAATGCAATACTTCTTTCATCATTAACAATATCACATGCATCAAAGTTTAATTGCAGTTGCGACGACGGCAATTGACGCCAATCTGAAACGAAAATGACATGACGATGTTTTGTATCAATGTTTAATTGCTTCATGTAATGAATACAAAACATTACCTATCACTGTATAAACACCCATTTTTTATGGAAGAGGGTTTATGTTAATGCGGTAATCTCGTCTTTGAGGTACGGAAAATAGTAGGCGCACAATGTAATTTGTATACATCGTGCACATGTGTTCCGAAATAGTGTTTATACAGTTTAATTAATTTCAAATCTGATATTTTGTATTGTTTATATTTGTCCATTTTGATATACATATTTTTTTTATTATGAAAGCCACCAATCGGTATTGATATTCATATTATATTAATGCATATTCGTTCACAGCAATTATTAAAAAAAGTATTATATCTTGTAAACACTGTTGTTTACCCCTGATAAAAGCGCGCTAAGGTTCTTAACTTGGGAGGAAACAAGATTGACCGGCGAAAGCCACATGAACGGGCAGATGACCCAAATGCCGAATCTTTGAGTCAAATCCCGGACCTTTTTCTTTTTGGAAAGGTGAGTGCTCTATCCGCTACGCCAACCGACCACCAAGAGAAAGATAGCTAACGATAGGGCACAAATAAATAAGAATAAATGCTACGTAACGGATTTGTTTCTAAATGTAGACATTAAAAAGTATAGAAACCATAAATTGCTAAGTGCATTCCCCTCACTTTTGATAATTAAACAAAATATGCATATATAAGCGCATAGCATTGCTAAACTGACTATTTCTTTTGACTTTTCATAACGAGGTAAACGGTTGCACATGTAATTACGACAAGTCTTATTGTTTCATAACGTGGTAGATGGTGGCACATGTAATTACAACAAGTCTTAATGTTTCATACCGTGGTTGGTAGTGGTAATTATGTCAACACTTAATTCTTAATGTTTTATAACACGTTAGTAGTGACACATAATAACTAATAACAGAGTAGGTCTTGATGTTTTTATAACGCAGTTGGTGGTGGCATGAGTAAACAGGGCAAGTCTTAATATATTATAACACGGGTGATGGTGGCACATGTAAACATGACAAGTCGTCATACTTTTGGAAGAATAACAATGACAGGTATACGGTAGATTAAGAGGAAACAAACACGTTTCGATACTACACATAACAAATATACCGTGGTCACACGATGACGTCATCAACGGTTATATCTGACAAGAAAGGGTTTGTGATATCGGTCTGTATAGCACAACGTCATTTTACAATGTGGTCAAAATTAAACAAAGGACACGTTACGTTATGATTCAACTCTATAATTTAGATGATAAATACAATACATGTTTGCACTGTTCTAGACCCTAGCCGCGTAGTCTACTATCTTGTCTAGGAGCGCATTGCAGTCGCCAATTCTCTCAAACACAGTGAATACTAATTCTTTCATCATAATTAACATACAAAATGGTTTTTTATTCTGCTAATGGTTACTATCGTTCAAAGGAAGGTTTGAACAGTTCTTTACGGAAAAACCATTAGAAGCAGGAAATGTATCCTGTTTGAAATACTGGTTGATGCTATAAGGTTGATATTGCAATCGCATAATTAAAGAAATCCGTGTTTGATTTCTTTTAGAATAAAAAATAATAAATTTAGCAACATCAATATTGGCATGGTCATTATCATATAACGTAACAAATGTAACATTACTGATTGTTATGTCTAACTCTGGAATAGGTGCAACATTGTTGCTGCACTCCTGGATACAAGGACAGGTATTATAAAAGAAACTGCATTAGGTTTCGTAGTCCCATTCTTGGAAATTGAAGGTAATTATGTACCAAATCCGATATTTTGAAAATATGCCAAAACAAGTTCGAAAAGTGAGGTTCGGTACAATGTTTATTACATTGTAGGTACAATAATTATAAAATTAAAATAAATGATAGATCTTATTGACAACAGTAACCTCGTGGAAGTGAAAATGTTAAAGGTATGAATCATACCACTACTTTTCTTACATCAATCATACCCTTTTGGCATACCATTACATATTTACAACTTCAGACACTTAGTTAATGCGATACTTGTATACATTTTTTATATAGATATAAGGGATCAACTTTTCATTGTTTTTCATTTTAAAAACAATTCCTTGTTCATAATACTGTACGAAATCAAATGGAGCCCGCGCACACGTGCATTTCACCTATGAATTAGCACAGTATTATGAGTTGCTCGAATTAAAACCAATGAGCTTTACAAAGACTTTTTCCTATGGTTTAGTTACTTGAGCTATGAACTATTGCCCTTTGATTATATCACTGTGGAATCTTACATTTCACAGAGGTAATAGTAACATCGAGGAATTTTCGACACAATCCGCCCTTTATTAAGACACAGAAATATGAACAATTATAAATCAAAACAAATAACATAGAGATAAATAGTTAGCAACAAATAAAAATAATACTAAATTACAAAGGACATACAGTTGTAGCATTAACACCAGTTATTACTTATATAATATGCTGATGATACCGCATATTATCCCTTCGGGCGGTTAGTAGAAAAATGCCAACTACAGTGAAGAATTCTTCTTGCAAACGTGAAAACAAGTAAATTAACCTATTTAAAATGTAACTAAAAGTAGTTAATATATACATAAGGTAGTTGCATATTAATGAAAGATTAAACAAAAGATAAAAGTGAATGCGTAAAAAACTC